TTCATATTTATTATTATTATTATTATAGTTAGAATCAGTAAATAACTTTATTCTAATATAATAATAGTCTACTAAAATATTAATATTAGTACTATTATTTCTTTTTCTTCTCTTTTATACTTTTTTTATCTTTCATAATAGCTTCGTTTATTAAATATTATATTTTTTTAACTATTAGTATTTATATTATGTTTCTAAGTCTTTTCATTATTATTTATTTAAAAAAATAATTATGATGCTTCGTGCTTATAGAATTATTAAATATTATATTATTTATAAAATAACTATTACATCTATATATTTTTTCTATATATATTATCTCTAGTCTAATTTAAAAAAATATAATTTTATAAAAATATTTTATATATTAATATATACATATATTACTATAAATTAAAGAATAAATCTTTTTTAAAATAAATTTTTTTAAATAATTTAATCAGCTATCTCTACACCAGTTTAACTATTAGGATTTTTTAAACTTAATATTATATAAATATTAAATCCAGAATAATCTTATATATCTTAAGATTTAAACTAAGATTTTATATTTACTAAATCTTTAATTATCAGGGATAATATATTTATAAAATATTTATAAATTAGAATTAAAAAGTTTTTTTAAAGAGTAGACTCTACCTAGGACTAGTAAGTATTTTAAAAAATTTATCTATTAAATTTAACTTTTCTATTTTATATTTAATAATGAAATTAAAAAAAATTAAATTTATAAGCTATTAAATTTATCTCTTATTAACTCTAGTCTAACACATAAAAAATTATAAATTTAAATAATTAAATAGAATCTTAATTATCTGGAAAGTCTCCTCGAGATATTATTACTATTATTTAAAAAAATAAATAATAATAAATAATTTTTAATTTAAAATATTATAATTTAATTTAGCACTAGAAAACTTACAAAACTAAAAAATAACTAGATAGAATATACTCTTACTATTAAATTAGAATTAGATCTTATTTATATCTTCTTTAGATATTAGTTTTTAAATGTTAGAGTTTCATAAAATTAAAATATATTAATAAAAATACTTACTAAAAAATAATAATTAGATAATAAAAAATTATTTATTTATATAAATTTAATTAATTTTTATAGATTTTTATCCATTAATTACTCCATAGAGTAAAGAGGTAAGAAATAATATAATATAAAAATAATTTTAAATAAATTATCAATAAAAATTATAAAATCTTAAAAAGATTTAAATATTATAATAACTTTTAGGTAATAATTATAAAATAATATTATTTATTTAATAAAAATCTATAGATATATTATTAATATTAATAATATATTCTAGGAATTTGATTTAGAATTAATAAAATAAGTATTTTAATAATTTTATATAAAGCTTAATTTCTTGGAGTCTTTTTAGTATTTAATAAATATATTTTATATAGGATTCCCTATCTAGTAAAAAAATAAAAATATTATCTAGATATATTATATAAAAATTGTTAAGAAATCCACAGAGTATAATATATATATAATTTTAAAAAATTACTAGAATATTAATTAATTTAAATAATATAACTATATATTTAAAATAATTATATTAAGTATAAAACACTGTCTTCCATTCATTCCCTTCTTTAATATAAATTTTTAGAAAATATTCATTATTTAAAACCTTGTCAAAAATCTCTGAAATAAAAATAAAATAAAAAATAAAAAATAATAATTTTTAATAAAGATTTTATTAAAACCCTTATAATCTATACAAAGATATAAACTACTATTTTTTTTAAATATAAAAAAAATAGGAGCTCCTATAGGATTCTTAAAAAACTATATTTAACCTAATTTTAGATTTTCTTTAATATATTCCCGTAAAACTTTAAGTTCAGCTTTTAAAAAAAATATATAAAACTATATAAAAATATTTTATTAAATTTAAAATTAATAATATAGTCTACAGGACTATAAAAAGATAATTATTAAAAAAAATCTATAAAGAAAATATTATAGAATAAATAGAGTTTAATTAGTAATAGTTTAAGATTTAGTCATAAATTATAAGATTTTTTCTTAAATAGCCAGATATCTTCAGAAAACTTAATAATAATATATATTTTTATTAAATTTTAAATTACTTTAATAAATTTAGTAGTAAAAAAAATTAATAATATATTAAACTACTATAAGCAATTCTATACCAATAAAATAATATATAAATTTTAAAATATAATTATTAATAATAGAACAAGGCTACTATCTAGCTAAAAATCTTTATTAATCTTTATTAATTTTTATATAATATTATTTAAAAGTTCAAGTATTTTCTTATAAATTAGTAGTAATAATAAGAATCTATACATTATAAATAAAAATATTAAATTAATTAATTATTTTAATTCTAAATACAATGACTGGAGCACGTTAAAATTTATAAGTTTTAATAAATTAATAATTAATAATATTTACTTTAGTATATTTATCTAAGTTTATAAAAGTTTCAAGATTATTTTAAATATAAATAAAAATATAAAAATAATTAATAATCCTTACTTTAAGTAAGAGAGTTAAAATTATAAGAATTATTTTAATTTCTTTATTTTTCTCTCTAATTCTAATAAAAATTAATAGACTTTAACAAACTAAATCTTTCTACTTTTAATAAGATAATAGTTTATAAAATATTATATATTATTATATATAAAATATTATAATTATTTACTACTTTTTCCAATGGGGTTTTCTTTATAATTTGTTATATTATTTATTATAAATTTATTTTAATAATAATTTAGAACTTACTTATATAATCTATAATTATTAAACTAATTATTATTTTATTTATATTTCCCTCTATTGTTTCAGAGCTTATAATAATAGATAATAATAAATATTATTTTTTCTTATTTTTAGATATTTTTAGATATATAATAATTTAGATCTAATAGTAGCTTAGTAAAGTATAATAAAGTTTTTTCTTTCTTAATCTAACAGGAAAAAAGTTGCTTTAAAATATTAAAATAGATATAAAATTTTTATAGATTTTAGCTATATTACTAGTAAGCTTATTTAAATTAAGTTATAGTATCTAATTAAAAAATAGTAATATTTCAAATTAATATAAATATCTAATCTTTAAATTAGGATTATAATTTTTTAAATAATTATCTCTTTTCTAGACTCTTATTATTAGTAAAATAATATTATTTTATTCTATATACTAGGTCTATGTAGCTAATAGTAATAAAGATTTTATATTTTTTAATAAAATATTTTTTAAAAATCTTTTAAAATATATACTTTAGGTCTATAATCTATTCCTAATTTTTTTAAAAATTAAAGTTTAATATAAAGTAAAAAATATCTTTAAATTTAATTTCTCCTTTTTCCTTATTAAATTTAGAAGGAAATTAATAATATTTAAAAAAGGTTTTACTAAGAAAACAATCTCCTTAGAAATAGACTATTCTTTATTATAAATTATTAACTTGCTTTAACTAATAAATATAATCTTTTAATTATTAGATCTTTTTAATAGTAAAAATAATATTTAATAATAATTCTAAATTAGTTCAATCACTAACTAATTCTATTTTCTTATAATTTTTAGGTAGTATCTTCCTTAGATAATTAAAAAAAAGAATTAAAATATAATAAGATCTACTTATTAAGATAGAAAGCTTATTAACTAAATAAGAAATTAACTAACTTAATATATAAGATTCCACTAGTAATAATAAAGGTAGCCTATATCTATGAGATAAAAACTAATCCTTAGAAAATTAGTAGTATAATATTAAAAAATATTATCTTATAAAAAATAAATAGATTCTAAACTATTACTAATAATCTTATGATTTCTATAACTATCCTAGTATGTTATTCCAAGGACCTAGATCACTCCGGCTGGACTATTATAGGGCCAGAACATCAATCAGGCCGATGCTGATAAGATAAGGCCTCTATCCGGACCATTCTATCACACCCCGCCAGCCTGCACCTTGACAAAAATAGTCTTAAATAGTTACTCTTCTATAAATAAAATAATATAATATAATAAATAGTTAGAAAAATATTATATAAATTCTAAAATATATATATAAATCTAATTTAAAAAATAAGAGTTAGATAATAATTAGTAATATAATAAAATATATTATATTTTAATAAAATCTTATTAAATCCTAATAAAATTATAATAAAAGTTATTAACTTTAATTAATTTATTTATAATATAGAAAGTAGCTATTAAATTTAAATTTTAAAAACTTATAGTTAAGTAGTGAAACTATCTATTATTAAATTTTTAAATCTTTATAATCTATAGTTCATAAGAATACTATATTTTAAAAATTAATTTTATTATATTTTATATTAAGACTATTCTCCTATACAAACTATCCATACCCTAATTCTGCCGCATATGCGATCCCCCAACCCCAGTAGGTTAGACAAGACGTAGCTCGAGGCTACGGACGGGGTTCAGGGGACAGGTGGCTTTTAACCATGTCTGGGGTCACGTGTTGGGCGGTAAGACTCGGCAGTATTTCTCTCTTTCCGGCTTGGGAGGTTGCACCGTGACATGAAGGGTAATATGACCTCAGTTTGTGTGTTAAACAGAATCCTAATCTCATTTATACTGACTAAGGTACTGAGTATTTTCACCCTGTGATAGGATCTACTTGTCAGGGTAAAAGGCCTGTCGACTAGGTAAGAAACTGGCCACCAAACGTTTAGGATTCCACTGATAATGACAAAGGTAGCCTATATCCACGAGATAGACTGATCCTTGAGGGATCAGTATTCTAACACTGAGGGACGTCACCTTATAGAAAACGGGGAGGTTCGGAACCGCCACCAATGACCTCACGACCTCTATGACCACCCTAGCACGTCACCCCAAGGACCTTGATCCCGATAGTTGTTAGGCTATTCTTAAGTTATCCTATCACACACCCACCTTCAGAAGACAAGGGTTTGAGGAACATAAAACAATAAATTCACATAGGCATCCATCAGTGCCCTGCTGGCGCAATGGTAGCGCGCAAGACTTCTACCCGACATTTCTCACCTTAATGTGGTAGGGATGTAGGAATCTTGAGGTTGTGGGTTCGACCCCCACGTAGGGCTTTTCCTTTCTTTTGTTTTTTTAGCCAGTCCTTCTTTCTGACTTTATTTGGGGACAGCTGTCATTCGAGTCAGTAACCGCTAATTTGTTTGCCTTCCAGATGCGAGTTGGCCATCTTCTTTGATTCTGATGGGTATCGAATGGCCCGGGGCCAGGTTAAAAAAGCCTCTAGTATATTATATATCTAGACCTAGGGACCAAGATTTCCATATTTCAATGTAGGTTGAATTATACATATGCAAGAGCTGAGGCTGACTTAGTATTTATCGTGCTGACGTGATTCAATGTGACTATCTCCCATGCAATCAAATCACTCAATAGACATAGTCCGTTTATCATAGCTTGCCAAGCATATCAAGTGGTGAATTTGGATATTTATTCTCGACCGCTGCATCAAGAGTTCGAACAGGGTCTGCTAGGTCATCATTGTCGTCATCGTCGAGGATGGTGATGTTCGTGATGATGCGCCCGTAAAGAACACCCAGGTTCTCTTCGTTGTCGAGCTGGTCGCGGGTAGTGATCGCGGCGCCAAGGGTGATTAGGCACCGGTTCATCTTGGGATAAGAGACAATTTCTGTCGGTTGCATTAGCATTGGCGTCTTGTATCCCGCAGGTGACGACGAAGTGTAAAGCGTGGGGGATTGATGCGCGTAAGATAGGAGAAATTGGGGGAAGGGCTCAGAGTGGTTAAACAACAGACACTGACGTACTTGCAAAGGTGCCTGGGTTTGTGCCGGAGTAACAGTAAGCATTATATTTATCGTTCACTAGGGCGTACACCTTGGGTTGGTTCCACAGGTTGAGGGCGCAGATGATCTTGCTGGCGTCAGTAGATGAGCCCCCGGCAGAGCTAAAGGTCCAACTTCCAGAAGCGCCCCCCCAGGCAGCCCAGTCGGTATCGGAAGCAGGGTTGGCAATACCGTACGTGAAGCTGCGCCTCTGCGACCAGCCCCCAGTTTCTCCGGTTCCCCATTCCTAATGGTGTCAGGATCGGTTAGCCCTCGGTATATATTTTCATCGGAAGGGAAAGAGTGCAGCCAGTAAGCAGCAGAGAATGGAGACATACCGCGTTGGAGATACCCCGTGCCTGAGGGATAGCATACGGGTAAGTGATGATCTCATTCCAGTCGTTGGCCACGAACCACTTGTTGTTGTCGGTCCAATCTACCCACAGGGCGTCCTCGTTGGGGTCGATAGCGTACTGGACATTGGTCTTTAAATTTCGCAGGAGTTCTGGAGAGAGAGAAAGGATCAGCTTCCGGAGGCCAAACGGGGTTCTCTTGGGTAAGCCGCTTACTGTTGCAATTTCCTTGCATATTCTGCTGCCACCGGGGGGTACAGTACATGGCCGGGGCAACGGGAACGTCGCCGTACCAGTTGCCACCCTCCTCGACAGACGCGGGGGGAAACTCGTCACAGCTGGTGATGTCCAGCGTGGTGCCGAGCGTCGTCTTGTACCGCGCGTTTGGGGCGGCACAGTAGGACCCGCCTTTATTCCCATTCGATAGCAGGTCATAATACGAACTATCTTGACAAGTCTCGGAGCGCCTTATATCATCAGACCCCTCGGACGTGTCGTAGGTGAAGGTGGCGCCCGGATTGAGGTCTAGGTTACGCCAGTTGAGGAAGGTCTGCATGTTCTGGCAAATACCTTCAATATTCGCGCTCCCCTTGGTTCCAGTTACCTGGTCCGTAGAGAACCACGCGCAGTTGATCAACATGGAAGGCACCTTGGGCGTGCATGCTGAGCTGCCGTCGGCGCTCGAGTCGTCGCCCGTGCTGCATGAGTTTGCCGGGCAGGCCAGGACGCCGCCCGTGAAGCAACCGGTGCCGCCCATGTTGGTGTCGCCGTCATCGTCGACCGTCGAGCGCCGGTACAACCACGACAGATGCGTTGACAGGTCGGTCGCGTTGCTTCGTTTCGAGATCCTCGAGCGGGACTTGCGCTCTTCCAGCAGACGGTGCCAGTCCTGGCCCGGCAAGCCGTCCAGGTCGCGCTTGGTGGTGGTGACGTTGGTGGACGCGATACCGCTCCCGCTGTACAGCTCGTACTGCTTAGCTGTCGTATAGAGGTAGGTGGTGGCCAGGTTCCAGGCATAGTTGAGGATGTTGGCCTGGCCACCGAAGCCGACATTATACAGGAGGTAGGCCCCGTAGTTGTACGACGCCGACGCCGACACGCCCGTTGTGTCACCCGACGCCGACGCCGCGGCCGAGGCCATGAAGCGGAGTGTGTTGTTGACAAAGCCTGACACCGTCGCGGATGCTAGGCTCGTCGACGAGAGGAAGCTGCTCCCGCCGATGGTGATGCCGATGCTGGCCTCGGGCGTCACTTTGAAGTCAAGCTGCGCGCTGGCCTGCACCGATGCCTCAAACGTGGGCTTCAGACCGGTGGCGAGGGGCTCCGGTTTGTCGCTGTCGCCCAATTTGTCGTAGACATCGCTGTCGCTGTCTTGCGGATAGTACATCTCGGAGACGGCGAAGGTGTAGGAGGCGCCCACCGTCATGTGGCCGTTCAGCGTCACCGTGCCGACGATCTGGCCGTAGAGGTCAAACGTTGGGCCGACCACGGCGATGCCCTTGATGGCCAGGCCCGGGTAGGTCAAGGTGGGGATGAGCTGCTGGCGGTCGGAGCTGTAGGTCAACTGGGCGGAGCCCGTTACCGAGACGCCCAGATACAACGACGGCTGCATCCCCAGGTACGCGTAGGTGTCGGTCACCGCGGGCGGCACGATGGTGCCGCTGAAGTAGTAGGCGTAGCTGGCGGCCATGTCGAGCTTGGTGTCGAGATAGATATTCATCTCCGCATTGGCCTTGGCGCAGCCCCTCGACTGGCTGTACAGCAGGATGTTGGACTCCAGGTCCATGGGCAGGTCCCCCTGCCCACTCTTCGTGATGGTCGTCACCTTTTGTAGCCAGGCCTTGAGAGCCCCAAACCACCGCTTCGCAACAGGCGCGTCCTGGTCGAGCGCAACCACTTCGCGGGGGGCGAACGACTGCGTTGTCCGCTCATGGAAGTCGGCGGAGCCCCTGGCCGTGAAGGCGGGCTTCTTCTTAGCGACATCAACATGCCGGCGCCAGTCACGGTAAGGCACATGTCTCCGATTCTCGCCGCCAAATGCGGCACGCTTCTTGACTTTATTGGCCGCCGAGTCGTCGATGGTCTGCCAGTAGTCCTCGAGGTTGGCAAAGTCCACACGTATGTTGACCGGCTGCTTGGCCGTGTCCTGAATGTCCTGGAAGTTGTAGTCGATTACGAGCGCATACACGGGGTTGGCGTTCTCCTGGACCTCGCGCTTGCGGATGTGGTAGGAGGGCAGCGCCGCCTCCGGCTGGAGGACAGGATCCATGGACACCACCCGCGCCCAGGGCCCCTCGCCGACGTGGCTGGGGAGCCGGATGATGGTGTCAATGGCGCCCTTGTGGAAGATTCGGTTGCACCGGTCCGAGCCCGTCGCGTACTGGCAATACACGTAGAGAGTCTCGGAGGCATTATCAAAGTTGGCGGCCATGACGGTGGCGTTGTGCGTGACCAGGGATCGCTTCGCTAGACGCTTGGCGTTCTCGGTCGTGCTGCTATCGTCAATCTGCACCACCGTATAGGTGTCCCCAAAGGTGCTATCGATAGACCCTGATGGACCGTCCAGCATGACGAAGCCGTAGGGGTCCGCCCCGTAGTCGGTGGAGCTCGCGCCGCCGTCGCCATCGTCGGAGTAGGCCCAGTCGACGTCCGAGCCCGCTGCTGTATAGGCATCCGCCCAGAGGTCATCTGGGTCGACGGGCCAGTCTTCTTCCGTGGACTCGGTCGGGTTGCAGCAATACCTAAAGCGGTCGCTGGTGCCGGCGGGGATGGGATAAGCATCGCAGTTGATGCTTCCCAGGCTACCGTCGGTGCCCACCTCGGGGTCATCCGGGTCGACCGCAGACGTGTACTCCACCTTTCCGGCCGGACACTGCTCAGGCACACACATGGACTTGGGGTCATACGTATAATCGTTATCCGAGAAGGTCCAGGAGCAGTTGGCGGGTACGGTCGTGTTGGGACAGCAGTAGGCTTGCGCGTACAGCAGCTGATACAGGGTGGGGTCTGAGCTGCCCATCGTCGTGGAGCATAAGTGGCCGTTGCCATCGTCGTGACGCTCGGTCATGTACGTATAACCTGACGGACAGGTGGGAGGCTGTTGTTGATCGTCGTACTGGCAGCTGGTCCAATAACATGCCTCAATGGCACCGGTGCTATCGCAACACAGCGAACGCCCCTTATTGACCCCACAGCTCGCGTCACCATCGGCGTTGTTGTACGTGTCCGTGTTCAGCACGAATGTCGTGTTGCCATTGCACACGCCCGTCCCGCAATCCGTCCACTCGCAGCCAGTGGGCATGTATTTGGTGGGACAGCAAATGTGACGATACCAGTCTTTGGCACATGTCCCGTTGATCTCGTAGCCGGGCGCCTGGATGGGTGCGTGAGCCGTGGACACCGATGTATACCCGCTGGGGCACACCTGACCCGTCCCTTGTTCTTTGCTGGAGCCATCGGTGCAGAACTGGGTCACCATGCAATCCTGGCCCGTATACGCGCCATACTGGTCCGCCAGCGTAACCTGTTCAGCGCTCGTGAGGTTGCCCCCGCTGCTGAGGAGACCCGTGGTGATGGCATCGTCGCCGAGCAGAGCAGCTAAGGCGGTATAGCTGGAGGTGTCCAAGTCGAGGGACCAGATCATGAGTCCAGAGATACAGTGACCATTCAGGTACTTCAGTTTGGTTTGCCACGACTCGGCCGTATCGTATGACACCCACTGGTCTCCCCCGTAAACCGTATAGACTGTGGTAGACACGGCATCATAATAGGTCGTCGCGGCCCTGACCGCAAAACAGTCATCAATATATATATTTCCCAATGTGAGGCGAAAGGGGCTTGCTTACCCGGTCTGATTGATACCCAGGAGCTCTGCAAACGGGATGTCAGTCTTATCTTGGCAGCGACTCGATGGGGTTGTGAGGGTCAGCCTGACCTGGGTACATGAGAATCCCAGCCGTCGTCGAGCATTGTCCAGCCGAGCCGGTTGTGGCAAATTCGCAGCCGGCCTCGTAGCAGTCATCCGTCTCCATGGTATAGGTGCGGCCGTAAAAGGCCATTCCCATGACCACGTTGGCAGGGTCAATGTTGTTGCGCCACAGAAGATCGAAGCCCTCTTCGATCTCGGTTAGGTTGGTGAGCCCATACATATACGGGCCGATGTATGCGCTCTCGGCGTTCCAGGCGCCATTCATATCGTAGCTCATGACATTGAACCACGATACGTATTTCTCCATGGACACGATGTCGAAATGCTGCATGTACCAGTAGGAACAGGGCAGCGTAATGGTCAGGTCAAAATCGTACTCTGCAAAGGCCTCGTTCATCTCCTTGACGAGCGAAACGTAGTTCTCCTTGTCGGCCGGCACACCGGACCTGTCCGAGGCCACCGGATACTCCCAATCTGAACACTGGTCAGCAGGCGCATTCTCATCACCGGGGTCTATAATGCCCACCAAGATCGATGCCGTCCAGGCCATACTTGATCAGATAATTTACGACGCTGTCGATAAATGTCTTGCGATTGGCCGAGGTCGACGCCATGTCCGAGAAGTAGCTGGCCGTGGAACCGTCGTTGAAGTCCCACCCACCGACCGAGATACTGACTCGCAGGCCCAAATGCGTGTCTTTGAGCGAGGCGATCTCCGCCACTTGGGAGCCATAGCTGCTATCGTCAATCTCCCACTTGTCGGTGAACTGGATGAAGGCAATATTGATGTGGGTGAGGGCGCCCGCGGGAATCTGCGCGGGCTCCATGACGTCGCAGGGCCTCTCCAGGGTGCTGAGGGAATAATAGCCGATTCTCCGCAGGGTCGAGACGTCGGTACTCTCGGTGCACGAGGGCTCGCTGGTGGTCTTTAGTGTAGGCTCGCTATCGCACCGGGGCTCCCGGTCTCGGTAGCAACTTACGTGACGGATGTACAGCCAGCCGTACAGTTGTTGCAGAACTCCGACGTGGTGCCGCAGAAGCCATACTGGCTGCAGCACACATTGAGAGGGCAATCGGTCACAGCGCCATAGGGGCCGCACTGCGCCGTGGCATTGCAGTTGCTAATGCAGCCATCGCCACACCATTGCGGTCCAAATCCACAGCTGCAGTGACGTCCCGGAAAGCATCAGCATCAGAGAAAGAAGCAGGGTGTCAGAGGAGATTGGAGGGGAGGTCCTCTTCGTACGTTCCGTATTGGCTACAGCAACCCTCTTCGCACGGTTCGGTGAGCGAACAAGTCGAGCTTTGCTGGCCCACCACCACCCAAGCCAGCAGACACGCTGCCAACCAGGTGGTCACTGCTGTCCGCCACATGGCCGCAACGTCAGTGGATCAGGAAAGCGATTGTATAGAAGTTGGAACAAGTCAGAAGGGATGGGCACGGAGGAGGGAATGAAACAGAAAGAGCGTAGGGCATGAATGAGAAGAAAGGAGGGAACGAAAGCGGTCCGAATTGCGTTGCGTGGTACGGACAGAAGTCTCTACTACGGCCTAAGCGAAGGGGGACGAGGTATTATTATCTTGTCCCTCAAGTGACCATTGTGCCGGATGGTTGAACCCTCCGGAGACCACTTATTACAGCCAGATATTCAGTAGCTCCGGGCTCTTGGTATCCCTGCAAGAGATGCATTGTATTCACGTATTGTGATATCACACCAACTAAACTCCTTGAGGAATGGTGGTTATTTGGCGTTCGACCATGGTAATGAGCCCCGAGCACGGCTACATCGGCAAGTGTCTGATAATGGCCTTGGCTATCCGGCTGGATCAGACGCTAGTTGCTTATGTCGACTGTGCCTCGGAGATTACAGTCCGTCAGGCACCCTCCTCCACAGGGGGTTCGTGCTCCACCTCGCCCCATCGCTGAGCAAGTTGGTTGGCCTGCCAGTCCTCGCCGTGACGGCCGCCCTCCCACCATGCATGCATGGAATCCTGGCGCGTGTATAGCATCCCATCGGCGGCCTGCAAGTCCAAAGCCCCGTCCAACCGAGAGTAACGTAGGACCCGGCCACGGTCGTCGACATAGACCAGCAGCACGTTCCCCGGGGTTTCGTTGGCCTCTTTATCATAGATGAGCACATGGTCCCATTTGGCCGCCAGGTGAAAGATCTCCAACGCATAGTCAAATTGGTCTGGGCCGACCTCGATCGCCTCCGCAAGGGCTTTGCGCTTCTTTTCGTCGTACCAAACGGCAAACCCTGGCGTCTCCTCGACAATCTGTGGGATCCGAGTCAGGATCGCATGCAGGGACTGTAAGCCGTCGTTCGACCCAGCGTCGTAAAGTGCCGCATTATCGAAGACGGGCTCGTCAAATTCCGCCTCGGCGATCAGGTCGACCAATTTTTCATCGGAGCCTTCGCCGTAAAAAGTGCGTACGAGACGTGTATAGCTGACTTCCTGCCGATCCGAAGGGCTCCGGACACGAGCGAGGAGATCCTTCGCATCCTCTGTAATATCATCTCGGTCGACAGACATCTCCTTTAGCCGTTCCACATATGGCTTCCCCGACGATCAGTTCTGGCTTATCAAGCGGGGGCAAATTAGACGGACTCACCATGCGGCCACGCGAGCCAATCTCGAGCCACTTGCTAAAGATCGCCGAGCGCTGGGCTTCATCCGAGATGACAAGGTCATTATTCCAGTGTTCCTAGCAGCCAATCTCATTAGCGTATCACCCACCTTCGGCTCTGCAGGGGTTGGTTGCTGCAGGTGATTACCAGGAGATACAGGTCGGCGGCGTGGATTGTCACTGTCTCCTGACCATGGGTGCGTTTCAGGGCGTAGTCGCTAGGCATGGTGGCTGAGAGGGGTTGGCAAGGGGATCGCGATGCAATCTAGGTTCAGGCAGGATGGATGGCAAGCAGCGCGAACTTGGGGGCCGCAGGGTGGATGCCCGGATGGATGCCCGCCTACTAATAGGAGTTCCCAAGATAAGAAGCGGGAGGAACCCGAGAAAACCCGGGGGCGGGGCTGACTAGGCGGTTCCACCCTGTCGACTAGCGCTGCCCAGGAGATATATACAGACCACCATGTACGGTGCTAGTAATGTAGGCACCGCCCCATGGCCTGGTGGCTGCCCTATCCCCGTCTTGCAACACGGCGCATGCTCCGAGCTACCCTGTAGCCGAGGCCTAAATCCGATACAGCATGGGGGCAAATTACCAGGTGGTTAGGTGGTAGACCCTGCAATGCAATGCCATAGGATACGATTGTCGGCTACAAGCGAACTCGTTTGTCCGCCCATGGGTCGACCCATCTACTTCCCAGCGAGTAGGCCGGAGTTGTGCCGTTCGGTCCCTGGCTCCAAGGGGGCTCAGAATCATAACAACCAAGGCATCCATCGCAGAGGACGGTGGGACCACACTCTTTCACACGTTGCTCCTTCTTTCACGCTATCACAACGGATCTGACGCGCTCTCGCTACTTCTCCCTCCTCCAAGTCAGTCTTTCTTTGTTGTTTCATGATGCCCACACCGTGGCAGCATTTCCACGCGAGAGCTATGGCGCTACTCAGTTTGGCTGCCCTCACTCCTCTCAGTCAAGGATATCAATTGTTTGATACCGCCCCAACGAGTCTGCCGGCGGCCTGTGGAAATGCCTTGGCCGTCAACATCTCCTGTGACCAGCTTTTCTCGGCCTCGTACATTGCCGGGGGTGGGTATGTCAGCGTGGCCGCTCTCGATGATGTGTGCTCGACCAACTGCACCAACTCGCTGCTGTCCTTCCAGGCTGATGTCGACGCGGCCTGTGGCAATACCACCTATACCTTCCCCGGCAATGTCTCACAGACGGTGCAAAACTTCGTCGATCCCCTCGTCTGGGCCTTGGAGGCCGCCTGCATTACCAGCCAGTCTACCTACTGCTTGCCAGCGGTGGTGGCAGGCAATGTCTCGGCCTGTTCGCCGTGCATGTACCAGTACGAAGCCGCCATGTTGGACTCGCCATACGGCCAGGTGCGCTACAGCCCGGACACGTACTCGTCGCTGTTATCCTCCTGCGGGGTAGCGGCATCCAATTATCCTTTCACCGACACAGCCGTCGCGACTGTGGTCCCTTCGGCGACGGCCACCGTCTCGGCCATGGCCACCGCGACATGCTCCAGTTATTACACCGTCGAGTCCGGGGACACCTGCCAGTCCATCGCCACGGCCCACTCCATCTCCACGGCTCGTTTCGTCATCGACAACAACCTGAGCACGCTCAACTGCTCGGTTCAGGTCGGTCAGCAGGTCTGCCTGGGCGCGGAGTGTGCCCTATACCAGGTCCAGGCCAACGACACCTGCGCTTCTATCCTACAGAACCAAACCTTTTACCGAGTCCAGCTGACTTCGTGGAATCCGTCAGTCATCCTCCTTCCTCCCCTGACTCCCTGTTGTAGTTTACTATTCTATCTTTGTCTCATCTGGGTTGGGAAAGCGTCCAACACCACTGGCGGTGATCATGGCTGTTGTTGACACTCGTCTCTCTCTTTCAGAACACTCTGGACAGACTGCGGTAACCTCGACAGCATGGTAGGAGAGTTCATCTGCATCTCGTGAGTCCCGGCTTTCTCTCCCATCCTCCGAAAAAGGGGGATACCGCTAACTGACGTGGTCTGAGCAGCCCCCCAGGCACGTCCAGCTGGGTCACCCCCAGCACCAACATCACAACAAGCTGGAACGTGTAGGTGCACCATCTCTCCCCTCGATTCATCCTGGGGTGGAACCTTTCTGAGACTGCGCCTATAGGAGCTGGGTCATCCCACCCACGGCCTTCACCACGCTGCCCGCCCAGCCGTCCACCTTCCCCGTCTTCAACACCTCAGCCATTGCATGGCCCGTCACCACCATCATTCCGGCGGTCCAAAATGTCACCTGGAACGAGACCCTGGTCCCGCTCTTTGTGAACCTGACCCAATACTGCCCCATTACGGAAGATGACTACTCCAACGGGTGGACCATCTCCGATCTCCCGGAGAGTTGCGAGGATCTCCTGGACGAATACTGTGACCCACCTGCAAATGCCACCATGCCCGCGTCGACGGTGCTCCCCGCGACGTGTTCCCCGGCGTACTACACTGTGTCGGGCACCACTGCCACCGGGTCCTCCACCTCCGCCTCGACGGCTCCCGAACAGACGGGCATCGCGGCGAACTGTAAGTGGTTCCCGGCATCCCGCAGCTAACTGGGGGGGGGGGTTGCCACGTTCATGGCTGACAGCTGTAGGCGATGCATACTATGTCGTCCAGAAGAATGATACCTGCGCCAGCATCGTAGCGGCATTTGGCAACTTTACCCTCACTCAATTCTACAGCTGGAACCCGGCGGTCGGCTCGAGCTGCGCAGACCTCGACGCTGGTTGGTGCCCCCCTCCCGCTGGTCTCTCCTCTACGTTCTCCTACCCCGAGTCACCCCGTAGCTCACCCACTCGCACAGGTTACGCGGTTTGTATCGGGACGACGAGCAGCACGTCGGCATCCTCGCAAACGGGCACGGCGACCACCACGACGCTCTCGGGGACCCTCGAGCCCAGCACTGACCCCCAATGCACCAAGTATCACAAGGTAGTCGAGGGTGACAACTGCGTCAGCATTGAGGCAGAGTACGATATTACGGCTGCTGAGGTACGCAGACTTAGATTGGACTCCCCTCGCCTAAATGGCACTCATGCGATTACATGGTAGACTGACCATGGTGCTAGTTCCTGGCCTGGAATCCGACGGTCGGAGCGACGTGTGAGTCCCTCTGGCTCGGTTACCTGGTCTGTGTCGATGCTCCCTACACCACAACCTCGTCCGCCACGCCCGCTGCTACTTCAACGTCAACGGCGACGTCGACAGTCACATCATCGGTCCCGGCTGTGGAACCGAGCACCGTGGCCGACTGCACCGAGTATCACCTCGTCGTCGACGGGGATGACTGTGAGACCATCGAAGCGCAGTATGATATCACCGCAGCAGAGGTGCGTACTTCCATCCCTTTCCTCCAGGAAGAAAGACTTGGCAACGAATTATGATCCCAGTGACTGATTTGGACCAGTTTAACGAGTGGAATCCATATGTTGGGACAGGCTGCGAGTCCTTGTGGCTTGGTTACTACGTCTGCGTCGATGCACCATCAAGCTGAGCAGGAAAGGGATCCAGCGCAGTCGCAATACACAACTAGGGCCCTCCGGTAGAAATAGCGAGTAGTTTAGATATCGACCGGTTCTGTGGCAGCATGATGCGCGCTCTGTTCTCAACGTATTCCTGCAATACATGCTCATTTCCTAGATCCCCCAACATACAATCCTAATCCATGCTGGCCCTGCTCCTCGACCGGATTTATACCCTCCACGCTGAGATTTCGTCCACAGTGGCAGCAACTGGTATCACACAAGGGATGCAGACCACCTATTCCATCGGTACCCGATGGTTCGCAGAGAAAGGAGGTTGGTGGTCTGCTCGATGAACTGGAGCAGGTGACAGCAAGCGGCTCCGTCTAGGCCGCCCAGGCAGTAAGACTCAGATGGATTGAGGGACGAGTTCCTGAATCAGGGCTTTCACCTGGTTCATGTCCCACTCTTCCAGACCTAAGAGGGAATTGTCATCTCTTTCCCAGGGGTGAGCCAGCGCTCTCGTGGCTAGGCAGTACTGGATTTGAACCTTAGCGGTTGAGGCGCTAATCTTGCCGGCCTTGAGATCTGCCAGCGCATTTCTCAATAGAGGCGCCATGTCATGCTGAGTCGCTTGCCACCCCTCGTCTCCCAGAATCTCCTTCGCTGCGCCAAGGAGTTGAACCTGCGACATGAACACCGAATGTACATAGACAGGACGGTTTGCGGTCTCTTGAGGACACAAAAGCACCCTCGCAGTGGCCCTGCCAACATCATCCAAGGTGGTCCATGGAACAATGTTGTTTCCATCCCCAAAAAGAAAGGCGGTCTTTTCTTCCAGATTCAGACCGGCAAAGCCGGAGGAGAGGGCCCGGTCGAGGAACGCTCCACAAGCTATCAGGGTGTATGTCAAGCGGTTCTCGGCCGCGTGTCTCTTCACCGCTTCATAGGAAGCTTTTTTGCGGGCGAAAACAGGCATGTCATGAACCCCCGGGAGGTCAGGGTCAAGTCCAAAATCGCTGGTGATACTAGTCCCGGGTGGAGATGGGATTTAGCCCCAAACAACCGGCCATAAGGGACGGGCTCACGTACAATCGATAAACCCCATTCTCGGCCGCCGCGTCAATCAACCGGATTGGTGCTTCCTCATCAGGCGAGAAAGTAGCATCGATGACCGCATCCTGTCCAGCGACTGCAGCAGATAGTGACTCCGCCGAGGTGAAGTTGACCACTTTCACACTAACACTGCCCGGGAAGGATTTGGAACTGCGAGTAAGCACTGTCACATTGAAGTCAAGGGCGAGTAATGCACTCAGAACCCGAGCACCGACATTTCCACCAGCCTAGGGGCTTGTTAGTTGGGGCAAGAGAATGCTTCATTGTACCCTTACCCCGGCAAGAGCCACGTTTTTGATCGTGCGAGCCATCGGTTCGATGAGGCCCCTGACCGTATTGCGTGCAATAGATAGATGCTCTTAAGAAATAATTCATGGTCCCTACAGAAACCTGTTCATATTTAAACCCTTTGAATAGATGGGCCCTTGCGCGGACTTGCTCGGACATCGAGAAAAGATCACCATCCCAGATATCTCCGAATCTTCTCGGAAACCGACGTCGCAGGGTTGCGCATGGGCACCACCGGACTCCGAAGTGATCCCCGATACGGAAAGCCGCTTATCTCCGTGCATCCCATGGGCTTTCCATCTGACACTCGATTGGATAAGCGATGCGAATCTGAAACTCAAGACTTGCTCATTCCACGTGCATTAGAACATGCAGTAAGTGTCAATTGGTGCAGATTACCATATTTTTGCAGTACCATCCCTCGAGCATTGCTCTCATTAGTGCCAACTTACTAATTACATAGGGATTTCTGTCTTTTTACACCTCACGGGTGTGGCTAGCCAATGGTCCGCATTGTTACATCCAGGAAGAACTGACATAACATATCCGCGTGGAAGCTTGTTGAAGACACATGACCAAGGCCATCATGCTGAGACTACCAACATCCGACAACCGATTTTCGTTATTAAGTTAGATGGCAAGAATGTGATTCCGAGGGTGAAGCGAGCCCCACGGTAATGTTTATTGTTCGGTGGAATCAGAATAAGACAGCATGTGGGGTATATATCACATACGAACAAGGGGAGAAGCGTACAATCCTTTTCACGGGAAATAAATACTATTCACGGTGGCTCTCTGTTGCTCAGAATAGACATGGAGCGGAAGACCGGTACTAAAATCGTCATATATCGATTGCTAATGAGAGAGGTGGTCGATTGAAAACAAAGAAGAGGCTAATCATGATTACATGTGCTTAGAGCAACTAGCAGAGATACTGTCTAGGTACAGACAAAAGTCTTTGCGACTATTCTCGCAACATGCCTTGAGACCCGGAAGCCTCCCTTACTGAATGCCAGCCACCATTCCTGCAGACCGTCTAGCAGCTGCAGGTGGCATAGTGACCGTGGTAAGAATAGGTCGTCCTCGTATGGCAGCTGCTCAAGGAGAGGGGCCCCACGGTGAACTTTCTCACGTTCCCCTTGGAGCAGCTATGGTGCGGCCAGATCTTCATGGTCAAGATCTTGGCGGAGAAGGCGTTTTCGAATTGCACACTGGCATAGGCGGACGCGTGGTTGTAGCAGGTGCTTCCGAACCGGACATACAGATCCTCACTGGTGCAGGAGGAGTAGTCCGAGAGGTAGGCGTAGTAGTGATAGTGCGTCCGTTTATCCAGGCCGTCTGCCCGCCGCGCCAGCCCATCCTCCGAGCTGCTGGTGGTGGGAGCCGCCCGGCTTCCTATCACCTGTTTGCCCTGCGCGCCCCGGTCGACGAGCCAAGCGTAGGAGGCCGCACCGGCCTGGATGCTGCTATGGTGGGCCACATCGTACTCGGTGGTGTCTTCGGCTGCCACCTGCATCCCGGACATTATGTCCGGCATCGTCAGGCAGTTGTAGAGTGGCCCATCCACACCTTCGAGTTCGATCGTCCGGTTGCCGACGGGAAGCACAACCGTCCAGCCGTCATCGACAAGGAGCCGGTAGTCGGTGCCGGTAGTGTTCAGGCAGTCCAGAAAGCTGGCGGCGACGTCGGTGCTCAGTTCTCCCGGGCCGTAGACCGTGATATTCTGCGCTACGGCACCATGTATCCATGCGGTGGCACCCGCGAGCAATGCTGTCAAGAGTTGAGCACGCATGATAATGTTGCTGCTCGTAAGGCCCTCGGAAGCTGAATCTGTTTGAAAACATGAGCTTCGGACGGGATATATATTTTGGAAGATGGGGAACACGAACTCGCAGCGGGTGATTCAATGACAGACCAGGATGGAGTGTTCTGTTGTTGAAAGCAGGCGAGACCATCGCGGTATTTATGTTCCTGTCTCTTTTGTCTGGTCGCATGCTTGCAATTCTGGTGCGCTGAGGAGTGGTGCCATCCAGATGGCAGGATTTGGGAGAGGGGGGCTGCAGGAAGCAGTACTATTGATGGGCTAGCCCACTTCTGCAAAGCTGTCTCGTATCTACGGGGCACACAGTCCCGCCTCGATGATATGCGACGAAACTATTATGGCATTGTTCATTTCATCGTGGTGATATCTCGTCACCAACCTCTCTTGATCCGATTACGGAGTCGGTGCTCACTGATTGCTGTGTTAACTGAGCTTGACGAGGATAACGGGAAAGGTTCCCATCTTTCTCGCAAACTGATGGATCGTGTGATGCTGGTATGCCTGGCCAATTTTCTCCGACTCGAATCAGTCCGAGTCGCCTTTCGTACGAAGCATTCAATGGGCCAGGGCCTAAACCCCTGCCGGCAAGAGGGGCCCTGACTAAGCGGTGCCCAGGAGGCCAGCGAGCTTAGCGTGAGGCTGAAGAAACGTTGCTTATCCACGGCGGCCCCGTCCGAGGCTATCCTGGGTGGGATCTCCTGAGCAGCCTGGCCGTGGACATGCTGGTTGACATCTTTCGGCCGAGTGGATCTATCCCTTCTTCAGGCGTCACTGAACAGCCCCCGAACAAGCAGGTCCGGGGTGACGAGAAAGGCAATGACAGGGTCGTGAGCAGGGTTTCTGAGTTGCCTCGATGCCACCCGGAACCCGCCAGGCCGCCGAATCTGCCTGCTCTGCGCGCCCCCAGGGTGTGCAATGATCTTAGTGATCCCGGCTTGGGAACTAAATTAGCGTTCGTTGAGCTGACGTGGACACCTCCACTTAACCACCACACTAGTATGGCTTGGATGCACACATTTTCACGTGGCAATCAGTCTTGACTACGCTAATCTTCTTCACTAAGGGCGAGCCAAGCGTCATATGGGATCTCAGGTCATTCAAGTTGGCGCTTGGAGGCCCGACTCATGTTCAGCCTCATGGTGCTTGTTACCAATCCTGCAGCGCAAGGACTCCACTCGGTCCACCCCACCCTATCCTCTTGAATGCCTGATTTCCTGCTGCCTAGATGCCAGCTCTCGTCCGCATCCCAGGGGTCAAATGGCCGGGCCTTCACATAGACAGCAATCTCAACACGCAGGGACTTCACCACCCTATCTTCCCTGCGCCGCGTGAAATGCTGCTTGGTATCTACCCTTTGTGGATCCGGAATGACGGCTTCCGACCATTTGCAATGAGCCGCACCCCCTTGATCTCAGGGAACCTCCGCATTAGAGGGCTACCGAATGTGAGGGCGCAGTGCAGGAGCCCCTCTCCGGCGCAGGGGTCCCAAACATGTAGCCTGCTGTTCCCTGTGCTGCAGAGGCGTAGCCCTCCACCGGGACGCCACACCATTGCTCACACACAGGGAAAGCGCAGCCCAATAAGAAAATGCCGGTTCAATTATAGCTGAGAAAGATCATCGCTGTGCCAGTATTATTAGGTTTAGGGTTTAGGGTTTATTAGGATTTATCATGATAATAATAAATTCCCCGGTAACCGCCGCAGACGGTCCTATGTAGCCACTTCAAAGATGTGCGCATCGTCTCTCCTCTCCCACCCCGGACCACAAGCGTACTGGCCAGGCTCAGGCTCAGGCTCCGTTCAGCTGAAGATCCGTCTCCTCTGGTCCCCAGTATGGGCATGTCTTGTAGCCACATGGCTGGTTCCCTAATTCTAAAGCAGGACGAAAGTAAGACTTAATATAGTGCTAGTACGGTCCGAAGAAGCATTCTCCGTTTATTCTACCATGGTGTATGACTGCTGCTAATAGGGTCTCCCTAGGGTCTGCTGTATTCTCTGATATAGGAAGACACATAACAGGGTGATCCAGGGCACTGGTGATATTGATTAAGTAAAAGAGAGTTCAAGATAGTGTAGCTGGCTGATTGGCGGGTGGGTCAGGACTGGTCAACCCCGCCTTCTGCCGATGCTTCGAATCCTCTCTCCACTTCTCTTCCCTCCTTACTCCGGTCTCCGTTTCCCCCAACTACAACATGGCCTCCGCATCCGATATCAAACCCTGGCTCCGTCCACCCCCGCAGTCGTATCTCCTCGCCCACGCCTCCATTGTGGATGTTGAGACCGGGACCGTCCTGGAGAACCACCAGGTGGTGGTCCGCGCGGGGAAGATCGCGTCGGTGTCATCGTCTCCGCCCGACGAGCTGCCGCCCAACTGCGTGACGGTGAATTGCGAGGGCAAATACATCTGCCCCGGATTGTTTGACGCCCACGTCCACTTCGTCGCCGTGCCCGGGTTCCCGGATCTGTCCATGGCCTTTGGGAATTTCAACGATGTCTCCCTCCTGCGACAGCCGTACGTCGCCATCCAGATGCTCCACCGCGGGTTCACCAGTGTGCGAGACTGCGGAGGCGCCCAACTGGCCTTGAAACAGGCCATCGAAGACGGCGTATTTCCCGGTCCCCGCCTGTTCATCGCCGGCCACGCCCTGTCGCAGGCGGGCGGCCACGGCGATATTCGCAGCGCCCACGACCACGTACCATGCTGCGGAGGACATACCAACGGCCTGGGGCGCATCTGCAATGGGGTGCCCGAGTGCATGACGGCCGTGCGCGAGGAAATTCGGTCCGGGGCGGATTTCATCAAGATCATGGGCTCCGGCGGCGTCTCCACCCCGACGGACCGGTTGGACCAGCTGCAGTTCACCCGGTCAGAAATCCAGGCCATCGTCGAATGCGCTGAGAATGCCGGCACCTATGTCACCGCCCATGCGTATACCCCCAAGGCCATTCGGCATTGCATCGACAATGGCGTCCAGGGGATCGAGCACGGCAACTTCATCAGCGCGGAGGTCGCGCGCATCATGGCCGACCGGGGGATCTACTTGACCCCGACCCTGATCACCTATGCCGAGATGGATTCCGCTCGGTGGCGAGGCTACCTGTCGGCTGATGCACAGGCCAAGAACTCCGAAGTGCTGGTGGCCGGCTTGCACGGCCTGAAGATCGCGGCCGATGCGGGAGTGACTATCTGCTATGGCAGCGACCTCCTGGGTCCGCTGGGGTTGGCCCAAACGGGGGAGTTTGCCCTCAGGGCTCGGGTTCTCAGTCCGCTGGCCGTGCTGCAGAGCGCCACCATCAATCCCGCCCAGATGATGGGTCACGCAGGACGCATCGGGCAAGTAAAGGCAGGATTTTGGGCGGACATCCTGATTCTCAGTAAGAACCCGCTGGACGATGTCACCATCTTCGATCGTCCCGAAGAATGTCTCCTCGGGGTGATGAAGGAGGGTCGGGTGTATAAAAGTCGCTGGGAGGGGCTGCAGGAGGATGCCCAGGTCCCAGTACGAGTGACGCCGTCCAAGCAATAGTCTGATCGGATCGGCGCATCACCCAGGCTATTCACCCTAGGCCAGAAGGGCAATCACGGCACGAATGAATCATGAAATGTAGGTAATGTAGTGAGAGGGGCGATCATTGTAGAGAAATCTATGCTAGGGCTGTTCTCCTGCCATCGGAGTCTCCATCAGATTCAGCCAGGCTCCGTCCACATCTTCCTGTCCCATAAACACCTCCACCACTCGCAACCCACGTCCCTTTGCAATTCGATCATCCTGCAGTGCCAGTTTCGGTGAGGATCAGGTCGTTGGGTCGAAAGATCTTGTTCACGAAAGCATAGAAGGTCTTCTGAACTAAACCTCCGTCATAATCTATCCCTTCGCGGATGTTCGTCGCAGCCCTTCTAGGAGGACCTTCTACTTGTGTCACGCGATCCTTGTCCAGGCTCCTTAGCAGTCTCAACAAAAAGCCGTTGGAGATATTGCGATAGCACTGGGAGCCTATCTAGACCGTGGACTTGGAGAGCGAAATAGAGGCCTCTTCTCGCGGGATCGTCGTGAAGTCATAACTATTCGTGTCGGTGTAATGGGGTCCCAGGGCAATGATCAGATCCGCCAACTCGAAGTAGGCCTGCCATTCCTGGCTGCCCCACGAGCCATTGTAGTGCCCATAAACATTTGGCGGTTCTTCATTGATGAGCCCCTTTCCAAAAAGGGTGGTCCAGGTTGGCCAACCCGTAATCTTGACCAGCGCATCAACTTCGTCCAGGATGCGCAGAGGTCGGCATTCTCCATCCACCAAGATCAATGGCTGTCGGGCATCATATATGCGCTCCAGAACTTCTCGCAGCGGCTCATGGGGAGATGGCGAGCCGTCTGGAATCAAAATGGGTGTGCTCAATCGAGAGGCGAGAACAGCAGCGTCCACCATGTCCTCCGGCAGCTCGATATAGACGGGCTGACTGTGGATGACGGCTTGCTCAAGTGCCCAGTCAATCTGCTCTGGGACCCTAATCGGATCCATGAGGTTGGTTTGGGCCTTGGTGACATGCGATGCCATGGTCGCGAAGTGGCGGTAGTCGCCGTCCGCGAGGGTATGATGTATTCTCTTCCGTGCAGCCCGGCCGGTGGCACAAAGTCGAGCAACCGCAGATTGTAGTCCCCAGGAACGCCGAAAATGGACCAGATTCCCAGCTGATGGAGTCTTGTGAAGAGATAGTCCGCGAGTTTGATAGTCGCCGGAGACTGATCCGTATGCGTCATGATGGGGGGCCGTCTACCAGAGAAACAGGCCACAAAATTATGCTTTGTCGTTGAGCCAGGCACCAGATCCATGATTGCATGAGGTTATGGTTGCCTATTTGTAGTAAATCCCCTCTGAGGGCGCTTCTCTCTGCGCTCCACCTTCACTCCGATCCGATCACTCCGAGCATCCTGTCCTTCTGGGGTCGAGGGATCGGTCAATCCGGAGTGATCCTACGTCTCTGATTACGCCGACGATTTCCCCGGGGATTCAGAGAAGAGGCCTGGGGGAGTGACATCCCATCTAATGAGCATATAAAGCCCGGTTTCCATTGCTGCTTCTCTCTTTCCAGCCGTCCTTCTTCCCACCACATCCCTCCACCTCCCCTTCAACCGTCATGGCCCCCCTCTCGCCGGCTGATGTCCAGACTCTTCGCGCTGGCTCGGCACCGTTAAACCTCTCAGTCGCCGCGAATGTCTCTGCGGATGCCTTCAAATCACCCCATACACTGGGAAAGCCCAGAGCTAGGCCAATGGACCACCATTTTAGCATGGAGAGTGCTGGATTCCGCGGCTCTGCGATGAAGAAGTCGGCCAGCGTGGTCAGCGCGCGAAAGGTCATCCCCCTAGGAGCGGGCAGACCAACCGCAAACTATTATCCATGGAACGATCTCGCCTTTGAGGGGATGCGACCAGCCCTACAGAGTCTCCCGGATGAGAGTCCTGGAGACGCACCGCACATGCAGACTGCTTCGAAAGAAGGCGTCGACTACAACCTGTCTCTGGTGCTGAATTATGGCGGCGCTTCCGGGTCGCCACATCTCCTCCGGTTCATCACCGAGCATATAGAAATGGTTCATGATCCTCCTTACTCCGATTGAGGTACGTGCCTCACAACGGGGGCTACTTCTGCCTTGAAATTCGCCTATCGCATCTTCTGCAACCGAGGGGACAATATCCTGATGGAGGAATACACGTACCCGGGCGCTCTGGAAGGCGCCCGTCAACTGGACCTTCACGTCCACGGCATCCAGATGGACAGGGAAGGCGCACGGGCGGACGACTTAGCCCGCCTTTTAGATACATGGGATCTCGCACGAGGCCTGAAGCCGAGACTCCACTACATGATTCCGTCGGGCCAAAATCCCACGGGCACGACACAGTCCCTCGCGCGAAGGCGGGAAATTTACCAGGTCGCCGAGGAGCATGACCTCCTTGTCATCGAAGACGATCCGTATTACTTCCTTCGAGCGGGGACTCGCGGAGAGGAATCCGACCGAAACGCCCGCGTTCCGTCATACGTATCCCTTGATAAGTCGGGGCGCGTGGTGCGATTGGACTCCACGTCCAAGATCCTGGCCCCGGGGCTGCGCGTGGGTTGGGTCACCGCGAGTGCCCCCATCATCGACAAGTTTCTGGCCTAGCAGGAGGTCAGCACGGTGTCCGTCACCGGTCCCTCCCAGTGGATGACATGGAAGCTCCTCGATGAGTGCTGGGGTCATCAAGGCTTTCTCGACTGGCTGGACAGCCTGTCGCTCGAATACCGTTTCCGTCGAGACATCCTTCTGGATGCGTGCAACCGTTACTTGCCGAAAGAGATCTGTTCGTGGGTAGAGCCAGTGTACGGCATGTTTCTCTGGATCTGTCTCGACTGGCAGAAGCATCCCCGATTTCAGGCCTCGATAGCCCAGAAAGATCACCAGTGTCAGATTGTAGAAATCGAAAGCAATATTTTATTAACGGCGTTCTTCAACGGTGTACAGGTCACACCAGACTCCTTGTTTGGCTGCAACAGCGCGCTCCACCAAGCCCTACATTTCTGAATGACCTATGCGGCCGCAGCCCGAGAGGATCTCGAGGACGGGGTGAGGACCTTTGCGGATGCTGTGAAGAAGGAGTTTGAATCGAGAGCTTAGGTCTGTGAGCGAGTGAAATGGGGTTCCAGGGTAGCAGGAGAGGGATGGTCGACCAAGCTGTCCCAGAACCCGGTTTCAAAGTCCCATACATCTGGTCCCAGTGTAACCCCCCAGTCGTCCGCTAGATGTGTGTTGGCATCGCCTGCCTCCCACCCGGCCTCGGTCCGCCCCAGGTGGAATGACTCAAGCACCCTCTGGATCGTGTGAGTGGCCTGGGATAGCAGAACATAGATTGGATCGCCGCGTTTCACAATCATTCCTTTCTGGATTTCCACCACAAAGACGCTCAACTCCTGCAGCACCTTCGCTCGGGACAATCCCGTCGGCATGGGCGCATGTCGTTGCTTAAGCATTGCCAGCAGTAGCATCCCAGCCGCCGGGAGACCATAATGAACAATCTGGAGACAGTGTTAGAGCTCTCCTTCTCTCATCTAGTCTTGACCATTTTGCATCAATCACCTTCCAGAGCAGACCGGTTCCAGAGTTAATCAATTGCTCTCGATTAACAATCGCCTCCACCACCAGGGCGAGCATTTCTCCCGCCACTATCATGAATTGAGGAGTCAGGCTCAGACGGGGTGGTGAGTGCCAGGGGTTGAAGGAGGAAGAGGACATGGAGATGGTTGAGTCGAGTGCTGATCAGAAAGTCTCTCTCAAAGGACGAAAGTTGGTCATGAGTTGCGAGGCTGCCCTCTATTTGGAATTGAGGGGGCAGGGCTTGCCAGTGTGCTTCTGCCTGGTCCTTGATTGCACTGTCCAAGTATGTACTACTCAGTTCCGTGTATGAGGGGTGTGTGGTACGATACCCAATTCGCTCTGCAGGTATCTCATTACTCTTATCCCGCGCCAGTTCCGAAATCTCCTCCTTTAACGACGCGCACAGGGCCGACCATCGTGTCTCTGCCCTGTAGCTCGCCTTAGCATTCGGGTCCCATGCAGTGCTGTCTCCTTGTGGGTCTGGGAAGCTGGAGGGGATTTGCAAGGTGGAAAATCGCTTCGTCATGCGAGGGGGTCGGCCCAGGAAGCTTGCCAGATTTTTGTCGGTGGAATAGATCCGGGCAAACGCGGTCTTCCGTAACTGGGTGAGGAAGTCGGGCGCGTCGGGTTTTGCATCAATATCGTCGTGATATCCCAGGTGAAAGATGGACGAGATGACATCCCCAATCTTCCGCCAGGAATGATAGCCTAGAACCGGTGTCAGCATTCCGGAGGCCCGGCGGATTCGCGGGCAACGCGCTTACTGTGGTCGCCATCCACCAACGAGTGCATGATGAGATTTTCGTACTGCAAAACCAGTTGCAGATCATTCAGGCAATCCAGAGACAACACGATCTCCAAGGCATGGTCACTGAGCGTGCCACATAGCGTGCGGAGGGTACGGTTTGCCTCGCGGGTCAGATAGAGCTGCGGGAAGGCAGCAACATCGAGGGTGGCCCGACTGACAGCCAGGAAGAAGATCCCCAGGGCCTCCCATCGGAGGTTGGTACCCACAAATTGCGACACCCACACGGGGCCACTGGTATCGGCATTGAACCTCAAGGGCTGGGAGGAATTCTGCAGCAGAAGCCTGGCGCAGCCCACATGCCAGTCCTCATCTTGGGACACGGCCGCGAAGAAGGGCACCACGCTTTCAGTGCAGGCCTCGACAAACGGTTCGGCGAGGGCTAGATTGTCTCCCTTGGCGAGCCAGAAGAGGACGAGGTCTCTCAGCACCGTCACTTGGTATTCGTTCAAGAGCAGTCGCAGAGCATTGGCCCCTTGGCGGAGGGCCGCATCATCCGTTATCGGAGGGCCCGGCAACGATGCCACTCCTATATCGGAAGCATCCTGTGCCCCAGGGGGTTGCGGTGCAATCTTGGGAGATGTGATTAAAAATGGTGGCATGGCTCGAGGAGCCCAGATAACCCGGATTCGGGTACGGAATAGGTCGGGCCACGCTCGACGATGGCGGAGCGACCGGCGACGGATTGCTGCTGGGCATTAGTCCAGAGACTCTGCAATTTATGGGTGATGGAGGAGTCTACTGCGACTGGGGGGTGCCTGGCGACGGTGGCCGGGTGGCTCGTTTCCGTTTGAAGGGAGCAATGCGGTAGATACAGATGCCCGCTCGGTTGCTCTTCTGTCAACGCGTACAGGCCGGCCGTTTGTGATCATAGGCTAGCTTGGCCCTCCGGCAGGCCTCGCATGCTGCGCGTCGCGATGGCATCGTGACAGATGGCGGGGTGGTCCCGGGCAGGACTGGGTGAGGGGCGCCGCTGAGGAGAAAAGAAAGGGTGGGATCGGACCGGCATGCTCGGCGTGTTCGGCCAAGGAACGAGGCAAAGCTTGGCCGCAGCGTGGTCCGGGCTTCTATGCCTCTATGCTTCTATGCTTCTATGCTTCTACTGTGGAAAGGCTTCACTCTCCCATCCGGATCATATTTTCGCTACCACTCCCCTATCGGAGCCCCTAGGAAGACGTGCAGGCCACAAAGTCATCCCCACTGGCGCCCGTGTGCGTGATCAGACCCGCCAATTCATCATTGCCGTTGAAAATCACCCGATCGGCGCCGGGCGAGCCCCCGTCATACACCTCAAAGTCGCTCAGAATCGGGTACTCGTAGTAGGTGCCGGACACCGGGAAGTCGAAGCCCTCATAGTCGTGGTACTCGTGCGGGTAGTCGTGGATGGTCTCTCCCGATTGGTACAGCGAGTACCCCTCGGCCTGGGCGGCACTCACGTCGCTGGCCCAGTAGCAGGTGCTGCCGCAGGTGTAGTCACAGCTCTCGCGCTTTTCGACGTTCTTCCGGGCGGAGGGGGAGGCCACCGAGACGGAGACGAAGAGGGGTAGCAGGGCCAGGAGGGTCTGACGGGGATCAGTTTGTTACGCACTCTCCAGCAGCGCGATTTCCACGGGTTGGGTACCTTGATCTGAACCATGATGGCGGTCGGTGGGCTGACTGTTGGCCTGCTCGCAGAGGATTGGAGAGTATGTGTGTGTCTGGTCCTCCAACCCCCCTTGGACTGGACAACCTATTTATCCCTTGGAGGTCTCCCTCGTCCGGTCTTCATCCCGTCGGGGGCCTCCTATCTGTCGGCAGACGGGGAGAACAGCAACACGGCCGACCAGCACTTCCGAGGTTACATTGCATCCCTAGGGGCCCGATAAGATAGGCTGGTGCCTGGCACGTTCTTCCAGTTGTGTCCCCCAGAGGCTCAGGGTCCGTCGATCTTCACCCGTCCAGGCAGCCCACCCGAGACCCACGGCGCCTTGGCGGCCTCCACTCGTCAGGGACTCCGGCGGATCTCCCAATGGCAGCCGATAACTGGGGCACGGAGGTGGCCGGATCGACTCTCCCTCAGGCAGCAACAGCCGGTGAAGAAAGCCTCCCAGCCAATAGTCCGCTGACCTGGGTTGGTTATGCCATCCGCGAAGGAAGAAGGATGAGGGATGGCGCTCCTGAAGCTTCGGCCCTGCCCGTTTGGGATCTGCCTGTGGAAGGTAGTCGCCCGTGGGACAGAGAGGGGGTATGTGCAATGATCCGTTCTGTCCAGGAAAAGCATGGGACTCATGTCTCACAGTTGGGACTGGCTTGCATGACGGCAGTAAAGACAATGGTAATCTTCTTTGCATCTGGGCTGGCTTGCTGTCATCCACCGTCTCAGTGATGGTGTCGGACTGGTTATCGTGTTTTCCGCTGTTCGCCTACCATGCGCAGAACCATCTGGTGTTGATCTGTTCAGGAGCTCTTCTCCGGAGCAACTCCAAAGCTTGGCCCTGGGTAAGTTCATATGATCCGCTTGTACCTTGCCCTAATCAGGACCGTAGCCACCCGGAGTACTCCGGACCATGAGCTGCCACAACAAGACCGGAAGGAGCACGCACCCAGGAGACCACGGAAAGCTGGGAAGAGACCATGTGAATAAGCGAGGTCGAGGATAGCCAGAGGGGCAATTCATGCTCCACGTGGGGTACCTGACAGCTTGTCATTTGCACACTCCTTCTGTTCCATCGTAGGCATCGATCTTGGGCATGCTGGCGTGTTCCTTCCCGTCTCTTCCTAGGGTCTGCAGTTCGTCCCATGTATGTCTTGATGTGGACCACTCGACATGAGAATGCTTTTGCGAGTTACCACCACGAAACAGGTCTTGTCTAGGTACGCTGGATCCCACCAATACAGAATCCACACTCCGCCTGTCGGATTGGGAAGGGCTCGGCGAAAGAATCGGCAAAACCCCCACCGCCTGGGGGTCTTTCCTGCCTCAGGCCGCGGGGTCTCCGCATAACGCGAATGCCATGTTAAAGACATGACATTCGGGGTTGGGGGTTGGGGGGGGGGTATCGGTGGTCAGGACGTATGCTATAACTTCCCCGTACAGCTCTAGTAGGTATCGAGTATCTACATGGAAGGTTTGATGTCCAGGCCGGGATGTGGACAGCCCCCCGGGCCGCGGCTGGAGCCTTGGCGGGCGGTGGGTGAGTCAACCCCCCAATACTCCGTAGTTAGTTACTCCGTACGGAATCTCTCCCGACCCAAACTTTCTCCCGCCGATTCCTTCCAGCCTGACACATCCCAAACCTCCACCATGGATCCCTACGATCTGGTCATCTTCGACTTTGATGGCACCATCTTTGACACCTACGAGGCCATCCAACACTCCATCCAGTTGACCTTCCAGCAGCTGCTGCCCGCCCACCCGGTGCCCCAGCCCCGCGACATCCGCCCGCTGGTCTCCACGGGCGCGCCCCCCGGCGACACCTTCCGCAGCCTGCACCCGGATCCCCTTGCCTTCGACGAGGCCGCCTGGGTCACCACCTACCGCGAGCTCTATGCCATTCACGGCCAGTCCCGAACCCGACCCTATCCCGCCGCCCGACAGGTCCTGGAGGCCCTGCACGCCCGGAAGGTCCCCATCGCCATCATCAGCAACAAGTCCGTGGTCGCCGTGAAGGCTGCCTTGGAGAAGACCGACCTCCTGCAATACTTCCCGGATTCCCTCATCCTGGGGCATGGTTTGGCCGGCGTGCAGCGCAAGCCCGACCCGTCCAGCTTCACCGAGGTGCTGTGGCCCAACCTGCAGACCCTCGGGACGGAGGGCGGAGTGGACGCAGGTCGCGTACTGATGGTGGGGGACACCTTGACGGATATCCACTACGCGAAAAACATTGGGGCCCAATCGTGCTGGTGTCGTTATGGCCAGGGGGATCCGGAGGAGTGTGAGAGGCTGGAGCCGGATCATATCATCGATGCATTGGAGGATGTGCTCCCGGTGGTGGAGGGAAGGGCGTGACGGCAACCCCTCTGGCAGCCTTGTGGCTAGACGAAGGTATGGAGTAGACCAACCTAGCACGCTGGACATGCCTGGATTGTTCTAGTTCCGGCACGGTCGTCCCGGACCCGCCCAGGGCTGTCCAGGACCGATGGGGTGGTCAGGGGGCGCTTCCCGCAGTGACTTCTGCACGCATGAAATCAAACCCAGTAGGGTTATCTTGGGCGCCAATGTAACTAGCACCGCCGTTGCTGAATCATCGGGGGCGTCGTAACCACCCAGCAGACGACGATAACGGGCTAGGCTCGGGCTTCAGAGCACTCAGACGGTGGCATTGGCCTTCTACACTCGTCCCCATGTACATAACACACTGGCCTGATAGTCACCTAGCGATACGGACTCCGGAAGATGCATGGTGGAAGTCTCTATCCGCCTCGACCGCCCCGTGAGCATGTGAGATGCGAAAGGAGATGAATGGGATGAATGAGATGAATGAGATGCAACGCCGATCGGCAGGGGAGATGACGTAAGATGGGATCAATGCGGTGAAACGGGTGCCTTGCTCCTTGCTTTCCTCCATCATCCTCTTCATCCCCTCGGTGCAACGATATCATGGCCTTTGCGCGCCGGTTAGCCATCCTCCCGGGTGGCCTTGGTAGGGTACCCCTCCCCTTGATCGGTAGACACACCCAGGAATCGTCGTATTGACCTCCTCATCCCTGCCAGGTGGTCTGGGCTCGAGCATTGGCAAGAAGCTCCGTCAACAAGGAGCCCGACTGGCCATTCTGTCGGCCCCGTTCGAGGCGGCCCGGCGAGACCAGCTGCTGGAGGCCGGCTACGGCGAGCTCTCCTCCCGCGACGAGATCCAGACCTACGAATGTGACATAACGGCCCCCGAGTCGGTTCAGTCCGTCTTCCGCGCTCTGGAAAAAGAGGTTCTGGCCCCCGAGTCCCCGGCTCGAGCCTTCCCCAGTATCCTGATCAACACGGCCGGTTACGTGTCGTTGAGCGACATGGAGCACACCCCACCCGAGGAGACCGTGAAACATCTGCACACCAACGTCCTGGGCCCCATGCTGTGCTCCCAGGCCTTTGCCCGGCTGTACCTGTCCGCGGCCCAGGTGGTCCAATCGTCCCCCAGCCCACCGCCCCCGGGCCGCATTGTCAACCTCGCCTCCCAGGCCGCCCACGTCGCCCTCCATCGGCATGGGGCCTACTGTGCCTCCAAGGCCGCCCTCCTGGGGCTCACGCGCAGTATGGCCTCGGAGTGGGGCGGCCGCGGCATCACCGCGAACAGCGTATCCCCGACGGTGGCCTGGACAGCCCTGGGACAGAAGGCATGGGGCGAGGCCACCGTGCGAGAGGCGTTCTTGAAAACCATCCCAACTGGCAAGTTTGCCCTTCCCGATGAGGTGGCGGATGCGGTCCTCTTTCTGTGTCAGGTAGGCATTGGATTCTACTGTGGATCGAATTTCCCGCTCAGTCTTCCTGACCAATGAAACAGGATTCCAGTGGCATGATTAACGGAGCGGACATTCGAGTGGACGGCGGCTTCACCACCAGGTAGCCTGGAAGGATCTGCATTGGTTGCCGGGGATCCAGAGTGTGGGGGTGACTAACCTATGCGGACGAGGGATACTCGAGGCTACCGGAGCAGTTGGGTGTGCGACTATCGGGAGTAATATCTGCCCTGTATGTGATCGGCAAGCGTCAATATCTCCACATAGTTACGTGCCATGCGACACAGAAGATAGAGTCATGTCGTCTGTTAAGTCACCCCTGGCCCTCCAAGGAGAATAGATTATGAAGAGTAGACAGCCATCAGCAACCACGACATGGATCCAGGCATGGGTTTTTGGCGACAGATTGATGAAGGGCCAGATTGGTCAAGAGCTTTGGTTAGCTACTCTCCGCAGCGGCAAATTCTTCATCGCCGACATGGGTGTTCGTTTGTTGTGTGGCTAGTGGCTACATACAGGCAATGTAATATCGCCTACGGAACACCAGCACGCCCCCCCAGCATCCCGCCATGGTACGAGGAAGATCGAGGGCTCCGTTTCACCTAGGTGAAGCCTACCCTGGGTCTCCTGTACAGCGGGTTAGTCCCTTACAGTAACGAGCGCATACGGCTGGTAGGGCTCTTCCGGGTATCGGATCTCCTCTTGTGAGAGCTCAACATCTAATGCCGCCAGGGCAGTGCTGCCGGCAGTGGCTGGCTGATATAGAGTCCAAGCCTAACGCGTTGCGGTTAAGGCCGTTGTCGAGGTCCTTTTTCTGCACGACAACCAGCTCACGGCCGCAGTTCAGGCCGTGGACCGTACTGGAATTCTCCTGGTCTAAATTCCATGTGCACCCAGCCAGACAAGGTGGCTGATGTCGAGTACGTGATCTGGGGTGTGGCGAAGCGAGAAACCATCATCAAGGCTTTTGGAGGATGCTGTACCATTGAGGCTATCCTAGTGTATTATCAGGCTGGGGTCTGGCGGTTAGACGTCTTGGAAACCGTTGACGTTATGAACAATGATGTGGTCTTGCTTGAGGCGGGCATTATTGGCTTGGAGTCGAACATGTCATTCTTTTGCGGTATAGTGAAGAATAGTACTTCTTGTTGGAAGGCCCCTGCATGACACGTCCTGTAGGTGCTGTACTGCGTAGAGAATGTATTTCAAGTAGCTTTCAAATATTTCGTCCTGGTGGATCCCTCCCTACTCTAGGCTGGATATCCTGTCCCTTAACTGCACTTTATCGCCTGGGTGTCCAAGTCTCTGCATTGGCTTATGGCTAGGACTGGGTGGCCGATGCCTCAGCTATCTTGAGTAAATATCATGCCGGGCAGGATAATCGAAGAACGCCCTCTTCCAACTGGTCGCGTTTGAGAGGGCTGAGATTACTGATGCTCTGGAGGTGGAAAGGAATTCTGAGGAATTAGGCGAAAGGGCTCTGATAGCTACCCTGGGTAGATGCTTTTGCTTGTGGATCGTATCTAAATGCCGAATTTGTATGCAGGGCACCGCAAGTGACTCTGGATCACTATTGGGGTTAAACTCTTTTGCGCAATGGAATGGGATTGTTGTGGTTTTGTACTTTCTCATCCTGGTGCTGGACTCTGTTGGGATTAAGACTTGCGACCTGTGGAAGACTCTGGTCAACAGTCTGTCGTAGATTTTGCCCTTTGGCGTGGCCTTAGTCGCGGTCTTCCTGGTGAACCGCCTGGGTCGCCGCATGCTGTTTCTGTGGAGCAGCCTCGGGATGCTCTTGTTGTGTTTGGTCTGGGGCGTTTGTTCGGCTATCCATGGTGAAATCGCGGTCGCGCCCGGCGGGCATCATGGTCATCGTGTGTGTTTTTGTCGTCTACTTCCACTACGACATTGCCTGGACGCCTTTGCTGCTGGGCTCTCCCACCCAGATCATCCCGTATTCGCTCCGCTCCAGAGGCTTGGCCGTGGAGATGATTTGCTGTCTATGGGTCTCTAGTGGTGGCCGCTTTCTGTAACTCCCTTGGCATCATCACCCACCTGGGGTGAATATATTATCTGGTCTTCTGCGTCTTCCTCATCGGGATCCTGGCCGTGGTGTATTTCTCCTTCCCTGGAATCAAAGGACACACGTTGGAGGAGATTGCCATCATCTCCGACGGCGAGCCAGCCGCGCCGCGGGATGCGTCGGGAAAGCCGAAACATGGTTGAAGAGATGCCCCTGTGCAATGGAAGCCGGAGTCAAGTCGAGTACGTGTAGAGGAGAATTTCCCGCGAATGAGGGCGGGATGAGGGTGGCCGGGCGACCGGTCGACCCATGGAACGGCGGTCGCCAGAAGGTGCCAGACTGCCAGCTGGAAGCTTGAATGGCTTCCCGCTGACTGGTGAGAGATAAGATGCCCGCCTGAAACCTTGTCCTCCCCCTGACACTAAAGAGCCACCGGACAAAGGCCGAAATGAGGCCGGTGAGGTTGGGCGGGCTCAGGCCTCCAGGCAGCCAGCACTAAACAGCCCTAGTCCGCGGTCTCATCCCCCATCTTCCCCCTCGAAGAGGTATCAACTCCGCCGGCATCCCTTCGATTCTGTCTAATTTATCATGCTGTGGACCTCTCTAGTAGGCGGCTAGCCTGCTCCTGATCCGATTGTCTGAGTCAGGCACTGCAGGGTCAGATGGGGGACCGGCGGCTGAAGGGGAACAGAGTTTTCACCATTAAGTTTGGGCGCTCGGATGCTAGTTAGTTTGAGTTTGGCCAGAACCACGCCAGATACGATGCTGGTCACTTACTGCTTCGGGCTTGGGTCGGCCGACGGCCGGATTAATCACGCAGTGATGTCAATGCCAATGTTCTGGATTCCCCCAGCAGTCCCCTGGGATGATTCCACCGAGTCGGGAACCCCGATCACAATTCCATGTCCATGTCAATCGCTTTGTTATCGATCCTACCCAAATGGACCATCTTTAACCCCTCATAGCAGACAGCTCACTGGTCATCATCTAAATCTTCCTTCGCCCGATCGATCTCCGCGATCGGCCCTGGAGCCACGTGTGGGGGGGGGGATGGAAGCATGGAAGCATGGAATTCCCCGACGGTCGTGCGCACGCGCGAAATCTCCGGTTTTAGAAGCAAGTGGGCCGGCCATCGAGAGGAGATGCCCTCGGGGTCTCTCTGCGTCAGAGCCTGGGGGGCCTCGTCTAGATATCCCTAGTTCCCTACAAGAACTAGGGCCTGGTCGTATTCTTTTCCCCCCAGTTCCCCTCCTTCCCCAATGGCGCCCTTTCTTCCGTGTTAAACACCTGGTAGACCCCGCCTGCGCGGCGTTGGGTTGCATGATCCTTATCTTTGGCCAAGCTCGACCTCAAGAGCTGCCCAGCGAAGAAATAGGGGTGACACCCTGCGTTTCCCCTCCCAAGCCAACCCCTATCAGGCGTCTCCTCTTGCGACACCAAGGAAGCGCGCCTTTTGCGGCAGAATGGTCTCCAGCGTCAACACCTGGGTGTGGCTGGCGGTGGTGTTGTTAATCAGTAAGTGATCGTCGCCCTCCAACGGCGTGGCTGCATGCCGATCGCTGCCACGCGATGCTGATGGCTCATGGTGGTGACCAGCCCTACTGCGCTATGTCTCCCGAACCCTTCAGATGGGTGTACCCCGCCATCTCCAGATGGAGGACTTGGTGATGCTCTTCACCGTGGTATGTCTATACCCATCTGGATTCCGATTCCTCAGCCGAACATGTCTGACTCACAGCACCTTAGGTCTTCTATATCCTCCTCACCGTGTTCCTGGTCGAGGTGCAAAAGCATGGCACCAACGAGATCCCCCCAGACCAATTCGACGACATCGACCCCGCGTCCATTCCCGATCGCATCACGGGCAGTAAACTGGTCATTGTTGTGGAACAGATGTGGCTGGCCACCATTTGGGGATGCAAGGCGTGTCTGCTCTTGTTGTATTCCACCATGACGTGGGTTCCAACCATCTTCCTATCCCCTTTACACTGCTCTAACCGGTGTCTAGCTCGGGTCTTTCCCAGCACCGGGTCGTCAGGCTCATCGGCGCCTTCTGTGCCCTCAGCTTCGTCGTGGTGGAGGTGCTGTTCTTCGCCGCCTGGTGCCGACCCTTTTCCGCATACTGGTCCGTCCCGCCGAAAAGCCTGCAGTGTTCCGTCTATCGCGACCACTTAATCCTCGTCCTCGCGCTGAACATCCTGACCGATCTCTTGATCATGGCCATCCCACTACCCCTGCTGGTCAAAGCCAAACTCACCTTGGTCAAGAAGATCACCCTCTGCGGCGTCTTCTCGCTGGGCGCCTTCGTCATCCTCTGCTCCATCATGTCCAAATACTACTCCATCTCCAAACCCTACGGCGACCAATGGGTGGACTGGTATGTCCGGGAAGCCGCCACGGCCGTCATCGTGACCAACATCCCGCAGACCTGGACTCTGTTCCGACGGTTGTTCAACTGGCGGGCCTTCTTAGCCCACTCGTCCTACGACCGCAGCCACGGAAAATACACCAACCGACTGGATAGTTCGACCATCCATCTCTCCCGGTTCCGGGGCGGCGACAAGTCGCAGGTACGCTCCACGATCGATCCGACCGAGTCCGGCGAGTATATCGCCCGCGAGCAGCCGTTGGAGATCTGGGAGCATCGTCAGTTTCACGTCACCAATGAACCGGAAGAGTTGCGGAAGAGCAGCAGTATCAGTCAGGCGAGCAGTGGCAGTCTGGAGTTTGACACGACGGGGTATCAGAACCAGCAGTCGCGGACCACGGTGACCACGGCCGTGCAGCATCCCGATGCATAATTGTCAAAAAAAATAGATTAATAGAGCTTAAACATGTTTCCATCTTGCAGATGCCATTGTATTCCGTCCCCGATATATCTCATCACTCCTGCTTGTCGAGTCTCATTTCACTGTTCCTTCCTACTCAATATCCCGCTTATGATTCTACGAAAATCTTACATGTCTGTGCTAGAGCCTCCGCGTCTCATCTGGTGGACCCAGGCTTGCTGACAGCTTCATAGCGACGAATCACAGTAACTTTTGCACGCTTACAACCCCGCAGGATCAACAGCCAGCCTTATCCCCAACGTCAAAGAGCTTAGGGGACTGGAGTTAAGCAGGTAATCTCCGATTGCCAACAATATATCTTCTGAACACACCTGCATCTTCCACCCTGCCAACTGACGCATACTTGACCATCACTTCTCACCACCATGTCGTCCTCCCCCGAATGCACGTTCTTCGAGGTCTATCAGTCCGCGGAGGGCCCGGGTACGTTGAGCTGGGTTGAGAACTGGTATGTCATCGAAGAGCAGCATGCATTGTAGAGGAATGGGGGTTAATTGGTATACTGCAGGTCCAAGTCCAAGGAATGGTTCGCCGAGGTATGACCCTCCTGGCTGTCATGGGGATTGGGCACTGACAGCACCGCTCGTACAACCAAATGACCAAGGCCTATTACCATGAGTATATGGCCGTGACGACGCCAATGTATGTTAGGCCTCGGAAGTTTAAGCGGATGACCCGGGTGGCGCCGTATGGTATGGTGAAGCGCTCTAATGGGGGACCTTTGTGGATTGAGCGCGTGAGGGGTTGTTGTGTATTGCCTACGTGGTAGGATGCAGAAGACCTGGTGGTTACTTTTGAACGAAATTTACGAAGGGTGAAATTATTGACGACAGTATTGTATTCTGATTTATGGAGAGATGGGGTATATTCCTTTAGAAAATGGGATGGTGTCGAATAGAATCAGCATGGTCTCGTAGTGGATGTCTTTCAATCTTTCCCAACAACTGGCATCCTGCTTGGCCGGGTATACCGGACTGACTCAGCCCATCTGCGAAGATGTAGCCATTATGAATCATGGATCAATCTGCCGTGAGCCGCCGAGGCCTGAGGCCAAAGCCAGATCAGACCAGAAAGCATAACCAATCAGGCATTGTCAGGTTACTCCACCCAGACCAACCGGATTCGCACTAGCGCACGATGCAGGGGCCGGGGACCGTTTGCCCAAAGAGGCAAGCGGGGATAGCCTCATCTCATCTCCATGTTAGCTATGACCAGCACTCCGGCGCATGAAAATATCTCACTTCGAGGTTCGAGCCCATCCCACGCCTTCTGGTGGGCATGAGAAAAGACATAAAAGGGGTCCTATCCCCCGTCCAAATCCACCGACCAGACCACCATCACTCACAATGTCCCAACCAGACTCCCTCAGCCTCCAGGGCAAAGTCGCCCTCATCACCGGATCCGGCAAGACACGAGGCATCGGTGCGGCCATTGCCACTCTCTTGGCCCATCATGGCGCATCCGTCGTCCTGAACTATGTCTCGTCGTCCACGGCTCCCGCCGCCGCTGGGGTGGCAGAGACCATCACCGCCGCGGGTGGCAAGGCCCTCGTCGTGCAGGCAGATATCTCCCGTCCGGAGGAGGCGCAGAGACTGATACAGGAAGCTGTTGCTGCGTTTGGAAAGATCGATGTCCTAGGTTTGTCCAACATCTTCTGTTCCTGGGTTGGCTTCATCTGACGAGACAGTCAACAATGCCGCTACCGGTGTCCCAGGGCCAGTCCTCAGTGCTACACCTGAGGCTATGGCAACCACCTTTGCTGTCAATGTCTTTGGTCCACTCTACCTCACACAGGCAGCGGTGGCGCACATGCCGCCGTACAGCCGGGTGATTAATATCGGGTCCGTGGCGTCGAAGCTGGGCGTGTCGGGATCGCCGCTCTACAGTGCGTCGAAGGCGGCGATGGATGCGCTGACATTTTCGATGGCGATGGAGGTATGCAATAGTTCCTTATTCTGGTAAAAGCGGTGGCTGATGGATATCCAGTTGGGTCGCAATCACGGCGGTATAACCATCAATACCATCTCCCCTGGCCCGGTGGACACGGATGGTCTGCCCCCTCATGTGGCGGAGAAAATCAACAAGACATTGGTTCCTCTCAGCCGGGTGGAGGAGAGACTAGGCACCGTGCAGGATATCGCGGATGCGGTGCTGCTAATGTGCTCGGAGAAGGGTCGGTGGATATCCGGACAGGTGATCTCGGTTAGTGGGGGGATTGTAGGTGGTTAAGAATATCTGCATCATGTTGGGGTTTATGTACATTAAGATACGACAAGTGCTGGAAGGAGATCTGTTGCTTGGATTCCCAGGACATTGATTGAGAGAATACTGTTGACGAGATCCATCCCTTCGGTGCTCGTAATGCCAAGACGGTCGAGTACTGACTGAATGTCATCGAAATACAGCAGAGGCTGGTGTGACTGAGATAGCAGGGACACTGTCACTAAAACCCAGAGGTAGAGCTTGAGAAAAGAGCCATCATAATCGACCATGCGCAATTGCGGAACAAGCATTGAGAACTTGTACATCAAGAGGTCGCGTTCCTGAGACGTAAAGAGAAACACCTCTTGCTTCAAAGCTGCGAGAAGAATCAACAATGCGAGCCGTGTTGCTTCTTGCAGCAGTTGAACGCCCGTTGCATTGCATTCCACTTCAGTCGGCCGTGGCATACAGAGCAGGAAGTGTGTGGCTAGCCCAAATAATTCGATCACGGTCAGATTGTTCTCGTGTTTCCAGGGCGCCGCAGCACAGCGAAGATTTTCTTCCACGGTTTGAGTGATAAAGCTAGCATGCCTGAATGCAACCTCAATATTCCAGAACGAGTCATGCCCTGAACCGATGTCGTCAAGCAGGCTTCGCAGATAGGGAGTCATAGCATCAGTGGACTGGATAGAAAAATCTGGCGGGATAGGCAACCGGGGGCGAGAATCCTCCATCAGGCTCCCGACAACATCCAGCCTAGAACACAGTTAGCCCACAAATACAAGAAGGGGTTTGTGGAGGATGTACCAGCCCGCAAACAGTGCCACATTGGCAGCTAGACCCTGATATCCACCCCGCAGCTGGAAGATGCGACCGAGGCCGCGGATATGAGTGTTCCAGCGATCCAACATGCCAACGTACAGCTAATTGATTTAGCTTGGCAACTTGGGTTGCAGTAAGAAGAACTCACATCGTGACACATCAGCCCCAGGATGGTAGTGATGACCCCTTCGCTGAGATTCTCCCGAGCATCGCCCAACCGCCGCGTCACCTGCTGCACGCACTGGCCGTAGTAAGTCAGACACTCAGCACTCGTCTCGTACCGATACATCTGGGCCCGCAGCTTCTGATCGAGGAACATGGCCGCGTTGGCCAAGGCCACGAGCACAGCGCTGGCATCGGTCAAGGCCATGGTGAACCACACCGTCCGAAACGGACGGAAGACATAGTCGCGGTCACTGGTCACTATGGGGGTTAAATCGGTCTGAAAATATAGCCAGGGGACGTACTGAAGTGCATTAGCTGTAGGCCCCTCGCATCCAGGGGAGTGGGATAGAAGGTGGTGTTGCATGGGTCCAGGCATGGAGGGATGCTTTCCACCACTGTATCCGCCGAGGGCTCCAGGGCCAGACTCCAGGTGAGGGGCCGAGGGTGTGTCCGGCGCGACCTCCCAATCTCCCGCATGACGCGGCGCCGGATGGTGCGCTGAGTGGAGGCGGATTTGATCTCATGAGGTTGGGAGATGTTCACGAAGACGAAATGATCTTCCTCGGTCTCTGACGGCTTCATATTGGGGGGATAACCAAGCTTCTTAACTGGGTTGACCGGGTGTCGGACATCGTGAGGGGGCATCGGCGGGAGGCCAGGCATCCGCTAGGCCATGAACAGCATAGTCCAGATGCGAGCAGGCAGCCGGGTCTTCTCCAGACAAGACAGGCCATCAGACGCCATCAGAACTCGATTGAACCCAACAAACCCGGGAAGAATGGGTATCCCTCGGGCGAGACGGTGAAGGAGTGGGCGGTAGTGCCATCAAAAGCCGGCCACAAGCTTCCGGGCGCAAATCCGACCGGAGGAAAGCCCTCCAGGCCGGCTGGGGCGTCCCAACACAGCGGGCAGTCGTGGGCCGTATGCACATCGCTGGATGACCATCCCGCCAAATTGGCCGTTCGGTCTTCATCCCAAGGATAGTCCTCTGTCGCCATCTCGGTCAGCATTCGCAAGATGTCTTTGTTGACGACAATCGCATTAAGTCTTGGCAGCTGATGCTGTATGCCATCCGTCGAGATGCGGCTTCCGTCCAGATCATGAGGCCCACAATGGACCGGAATCGCGTCTGCCAGAAGATCGAACACATCTCGCAATGGTTCTGCCTGGGTCCACCGTTCGGAAAGGACTGCCAGGATCACCGAGCATGTTCGGACAGCCGTGCCAACCTTGGATGATTGGAGAGCGGCGGGTCGGCGAGATGGGGGCACGAGCCATAAGCAGTATAGGAGGGTGATTCCGATCCCAAACTGGCTTAACAACTACATTTCTATCAGTATCTGCATTCTTAGCGATTGTAAAGACCCAGGACTCACACCCGGCCACAATTGAGCCGTTTGACGACCCTTCAGATACTTCCAAAATGTCAGTGCCATGTCGGTGCAGGCCTTGATGCACCGCTCCACCACCATGTCACATACGTTCTGCTGGGTGGGCCGGTATAAGAGAAGGACTGTATAGTTGTAGAGCATCCCCACCCATCCTTCGCTGGTATATCCACTGGAGAGGGGGTCACTATGGGGCAGCAGCTGTGCCTTCCACTGGTTGAGAACCTCCAGCATGTGAAGACGCCATTGGTGGGATTCTTCGAACCGTTGTCCATAATCGGCACGCATCATGATGCTCAGGATACGGGACTGGATCCTTCTGCCTCGGATGAGATGCAGGGCAGAGGATACCTGCGTCCTCCGAGGAACCGATTCAACCTGCTCTAGCCGATCGGTCCTCGATTGCCATGCTTTGATCTCATCATCATTCATGTTGGCAAAGGGCTGTCCCGCCAAGTAAGTTTCACAGTATTATTTGATTGGCAAGGGGGGCCTCACCTCGACTTGGATGTCTTCATCGACGAGACTGCATGGGACATGATAGACCCAGCTAATTAGGCGATCGATGGCATACGCGGACCAGAACACACGCCGTCGAATCTGCATCTCCAACAGCGGGTCTTCGGCCTTGGACTCGATCGTAGGGAGATGCAACTGTGCGATCACGCAACAACGCATGGCGGCCGATATCATGGTCAGAACGGTTTGCGATGATGGCGAGTGGAGGGCGTGCAATGTGCAAAGTAGGTAGGCTTGTGCGTGCAAAACCGGGTCCAGACAAGAGAAAACAGTATCCAGCGACGCCATGGAAGATAAATACAGAGCCTGCAGCCGTTAGCGGGGCACGAGACCCGTAACGAAAGCGTTTCTACCTGGGAAGCTTTCATATCCCTGGCTGAGACCCGAGGGGCGATCAGAAGGCTTACCGCAAAAGCCTGCCGCAGAATGTCAGTCCGCAATCTGGAATCACCCACTGGCTTTCAACCCACCATCTTGATGAAAAAGGCCTTCCATCGCTCGTCTTGCGGTAGAGGCACTCCCAGACTTCTTGAGCTCTTCCACGTATCGTACCAAGCGATGAAGGTTTCCTCGTGGAGGAACGGATACCGCGGGTTTACGCGCTCCAGAAATACGCGGACCAGTTCATCCTGGGTCTGCGGTGGAATCCGTGTCTCATAGCTGGCCTCGTCTAATGTCATCGGATTGGGCGAACTCGGGGCGAGGGCAGGAAGCATGGTAATCGAAGGGGTACTTGCGGCTTGAATGTCCTGGTGATTCCGCAAGGAATCGGGCACGACACGGATTGCTGGGGACGCCACATCTGCAGGTCTTTCATCTACTAGCATCGGCATTTGCGATGGTCCCTGCGATTCTGATGTGCGCACGTCCGTTGTCCTGAAGCTGGGGGGTGTGTCAGGATCGAGCGGCTGGCCGGAGCGCAGATCGAGGTCGCTGCCTCGTTCGGCTTCGAGCTCGAGGATCCGCTCTTCCAAAGCACGAGCGTATCTGAGGGTGTCAGCGTCTGCATGGTCCCCAGCGCGGTGATGGCAGCTCACTCTGGATTGACGCGACTCTGTCTCGCCGGTCGTTGACTAGGAACACAGGCTAATTCCGGATGGGTATGAGTACTCGCCAGTTCAAATATGCAAGACCATAAGCCGCTTACCAGCATCTGCCTGGACACAGTTGGTACATGGTCGTTGCTGGCTGCACTGAGGTTGCTGTTAGCAGTGGCTATGGATGACTGCGCTAGCACCTACTTTCTGCTTGCGAATGCGACAGCGTCGGCACGCCAGGCGAGGCGTCGGCGCAGGACTGGACGACATTGTGCAGACCTGTTTGGGGAAGCCTTACTACATACTACCAGTCTTCGTCCTGGTGACTGCGTAGTACTATTCATCCACTGAGTGGCAGGAGACAAGGATGGTGATGCCGGAGGAATGATTGGTCCAGTCACTTTTCCAGAATGGTTTGGTGCCGCTGAGGTAAGAGCTGACTCATTCCCAGCCCAGGCCAGGAATACGGCCTGAGGCCACACTCTGCATCGCCTGGAGGAAGGTGGGACAACTGCTTCTTTGACAAGGTTCGAGCAGGAAATGCTTGACTTGGAGGGACCTGGACCTTAGTAGAAGACATGCTTTCTTCAGTACGCTCCGATCAGGAAAGTGCTCCCAGCTGAGGTTCGCACTTGGGCTGAGAATATACCACTAGGACTTTCTATCCGAGCGAATTTATATTCCCATCCTACAATGGAGTTCGGCTGACCTTAATAGTATTTATTCCCTTTCATTCATTCATTCATTTATCAGCTCCGGTCATCTATTGCGGCGGGGGGTTCAAATCCAACCCCTCCACCGTCAGCTTAAAAGCATCATTGCGCGAATAACTGCCCGCCACGTCCATATCCAATCGACCACGCTCGCAATCCTCCAGGTCAATCTCCGCCACTGACAGCGCGGCACTCGGATCCTCGGTATCATCCGTGCTCACCTCCCAGATGGGGTCCCGGAGGACTTCTCCCAACGGACCCACAATGCAGGAACCGCCCCGGGACACATAATCCTCTCCATTGCTGCCATTCGGGGCGGCGGTCGCGATCCAGTCGGGCAGTTCGCGGCGGCGCACACACTGGTTGGCGGACAGGACAAAAGTGCGGCCTTCCGCGGCCACTGTGCGCATGAGTGGTAGCCAGGTATCCCGGGAATCGGCGGTTGGGGCTAGGTAAAGGTTGACATTCTGGGCGTACAGGCTCTGGCGCAGCAGCGGCATGTAATTCTCCCAGCAGATGCCAGATCCAATAGTCAGACGGACCCCATTGAGCTCGGTGGTGACAGCCTTGAGGGTGGCAGGCGACCCTTGGGCCCAAATCAGACGTTCCGACGCAGTCTAGCAGTGAGTTAGCAACCTGGTGCCTCCTTTCGTGCCACAATTTTACTCACTGGCATGACCTTTCTTCTCTTGCCCAGGGCACCGTCGCGCGGGTCGACATAGATGGCAGAGCAGTAGAGGCTACCGCCGGCGCGCTCGATCACACCACACACAATAAAGACGCCCGTTTCGCGAGAGATCTTCTCCAGCGCTTCTCTCGTGCCATCGCCGCGGTACTCCTTGCCCCGGGGTAGAGGCAACTTCCGGTTCACCCAGTCATCGCCGGCTCCGGCGGGGGTGTCCCCCAGGTCGGTCGCTGCATGGAAATACTCGAGGAATTGGTCGCGGCCATGGGGAGCACGAGCGCCTACCGCCGTGCCAAAATCGCAGGTTCGGGGATAACCCCCCAGATATGCCTCGGGAAAGAGGATCAAGTGGACCCCGCGGCTGGCCGCGTGGCGAGTCACTTTCGCCAGAGCATCCAAGGTGGCGGCGACCGTCGGCTGGGTGCTCGCCTGAGCCACGGCGACCGTGATCTTCTGTGGCATGTTGACTAGATTAAGAACTATAGATGGAACAGAGAAGAATTGGTAATGCGGAAAATGTACCGGTGATGCGGGGAAGCCGCGGCATAAATGCATCGGAGCGGGTGGGCCCGTCGGACTGGCATCGGCGATGTCCCTCCGATCCGCATCCACCACCCCAAATCCCGATTGACTCACGCGGAACTATCGCGGTACACATAGCGTGGGGGATAGTTACAAGGAGGAAAGACATCCGCCACGCAATCTGGCCACCTCCGCACCCGCCGTCACCGAGTATTGGCCGGTAATGACAGTAGACCCATCTTCCTGGCTAACACTATCAACATAGGAGTCACCGGTCAGAGTCCAGGTGCTGCTGGAATCAAGATACACTGAAGCGGATCCGGTGGTGCTGTCCGCATTGAGGGCCCCAGTCCAGCTCGACCCGATCAGATACAGATTGATCGCACTGATATCGTCCACGTAAATATCGCCCGTGACCTCGAGGTCGGTGAGATACACGTTGGCAGTCCCCCCATTATCCCCCGAAGTCCCCCAGTCGCTGTCAGCAGTGATATTGGCCAGAATGCCCGACTGGATGGTGATTGCCACATTGGTGAAATACACATAGGCCTCGATGTTGGCCACGAAAAGCAAGGCATACGTGCCATTCGTCTCGGCTACGGAGCCGCCATTCACATATGCATAGGCAGTTTCTGTCGTGCTGCTCGAGACTGTGCTCACGATCTGGAACACCCCATTGTTCTCGGTCCCGGAGGAGACCTCGCAGTCGTTCAGGGTAAAGGAATTCGCGCCGTCAATGCAGGCCACCGGAGCAATGGCGGCGGTGCCGGACAGAGAGCTAACCGTGATATTTCCGGTTGAGTAGACCAACGCCGAGAGTGCGCCATACGTGTACGCAGACGAGTCCTTCACCACAATCAAGCCACCGCCCTGGTCCGTGGCAATGGCACTGCCATGCCCGTCATAGGTGTAGATCTCGAGATTGTCGCCGTAAATGGTGCCCCCGCCGGTGTAGATCCCATGAGATCCATCGCCTTCGGCATGAATGTATACATTGGAGATAGGCGGTGGCACCATCCTCATAGGTGTGCAGTCCATTGGCACTGAGACCGTTGGTGGTGATGTTGCTGTCCGTGATATACACCGTGCCGTTGGTCTCCACGCCGACCGCGGCATTCAGGTCCGTGAAGGAGCTGTCACCGTCGCTAGTGGTATCGCCGGTCTTGATCAGGGTCACATCATTCAGGACGGCAACCCCGGTCTCTTTGACAATAAGGACCCCCTCGTCGGTACCCGTGGCGGTCAAGGTCGTATGGGCAAAGGTCGAGGTGGTTCCACTGACGAAGTAGGCAGCAGTGGTTGGGAGACCACTGGAGGTCGAGGTTGGCGCCGCATCTGCGATGGTAAGGAGGCACAGGATACCTCCAGCGAGGACTCTCCGGATGTAATGGAACATTGAAATGCGAGGAATCCCGTTGTTCTCTGCTGTTCGGGGTTCTGTTCAATGGTGGCTTTCCTAACAGCTCATGGTTATTTTCGGAGTCCTATCATGGTCCTTATATATGCGGCGGGCGCTGATTCATACTACTCTATCTTTCCACACCTGAGACCGGCACTGTGGCCCATCAGCGGCCCTCGGCACTCTCTCCTGTTGTTGGTATAGGCCCCTTTCCCGGGCCAGCAGTCAGGCTGCATCCTCCAGATTTACTCAACAGTGTCCACTTGGAAGATGTGGGGGATAATGCGGGGAACCGGGCAGTGGATGGTGTCATCTCTTCCCTGTAGAGCCCTCCGCATTCCTCTGGACGGCCATGTAGGCCAACCTGCAGCATTCGTCACCAGGCTTGGCAGGCAAGGATAGACCTGCCCTTATGTTGGGCTAATGTCTAGACAATCGGCTCCACGGAATCTTCTCCGCGGAGTGCTTCCACATGCTCACTGAATTCCTGCCATATGGCTCAGGGAGATATTTGGCTCTTTTGCAGTCGACATAACCCACCGTGATTCAATATCCATGACTGGAATCATACAGATAACAGCTTTGGCCGAGACCGGCCTATGGGTAGCTATGTCCCAAGTATCGACTCCACCGGTGTTGTTGATGGACACATTAAGCTTGAATAAGGTGATGAGATGTGGAGCCGAGGTGGAGACACGGTCTTGTTACCCCATCATCGAGCTTTTTGCCTTCAGGGTCCCGATCAATAATGATGATAGCCAATCACTGAGCTTAAACACTGCCGGTGACGCGTCAGTCACGGAGCTGCTGCGTGGGGCCAACCCGGGGTGATATCGCGATGCCGAGTCCTGGCTCACTGATATATCAGACCCAGTAGGTCGGGATGACTACCGTTCTCCGCGGCACATTCTTCTGTCCTCATCTTAGCCTGTCTGCGGTATCAAGATGCTGTCTCTTCTTGTACTTTTCTCCGCTCTTAGCGCGGCTACAGTCACTGTTCGCGACCCCGGTGACTTTGCCGATCTTGTCGCGGATGCCGCCGATGATGTCCTCACGGCGGACTGGGACTATACCCCGACCACCTACCAGGTCGACGCCATCACTGGAGCGTATGAGTACTCGGGCGAAACCGAAAGCATCTCTCATGAGACATTAACCGTTTCGGCCAACGATACCAGCGTCCTCGTCATCACGGAAAGCTCCGAGGTGAACGTTTCCTACTCTACCATTGTCAAGCACGGATACTCGAGCGACCTATACCAGGCCAGCTTCTTCGGCTTGAATGCTGCTGTCAACGTGGCCAACGTGTCGGTGGCCTATTTCGACCATGTGAACGTGACGGTCCACAATGGAGCCGCCAATGTGTACTCCTACGGCAACAACACGTATGTGTCCATCTCCGACTCGACCCTATACAGCTCCGGCCCGGTTTCTCACGGGCTCTATGCGGCCGGGTATGGGACTATCGTCGGCAAGAATCTGGAACACTACTCTGGCGCCTACCGATCCTCGTCGTTTGCGGGTGATAGTCCCCAAGGCTACGTGTATGTGTACGACTCGGTCGCTCACACGGCCGGCATCGGCAGTGCCATTATCTATGGCCAGGGCACCGTCTATGCCGAGAACATCATCGGATATGCCGAGAAGGCCCCGATTGCGTTCCTCGATACAGCCCAGATCGATATCCACGATTCGGATCTCACGGCGGGATTGCTGGCGGGCGCGGTGATTTTCTCCTCTGGCACCCGAGGATCAGGGTCCGAGATCAACTTTACCAACTCTCGTCTGACCGTCCTCCCTGCAGATGCGGCAGCGCTTTGGTTTGGCAATGTCATCGCAACGTCCCACCTCACGAGCACAGCCATCAACACCACGTCCGGGATCCTGGTCATTGCCAATTACTCGCAGGTCACGCAGGATTTTAGCTACTTTGCGGATTCCACGGCCGCGGCCCAGGCGACCATCACGGTGTCTGAGTCCGACCTGACCGGGGATCTCGTGGCGTACAATGGCAGTAGGATCAGCTGGTCGTTGACCGAATCCTCCTCGTGGACAGGAACCGCATACTCGGGTTATGGCACGTCGTCGTTTGCTGTGGCGCTGGACGAGACTTCGACGTGGACTTTGACGAACGATACCGTGGTCAATGACTTTACGGATTCGGACCCGACGTTGAGCAATTTGGACAGTGCGGGATACACGTTGTACTATAATTCCAGCGCGTCGGCGAATGGATGGTTGAATGGGACGACCAAGAAGATCCGCGGCGGAGGGTATGTGAAGCCAGCAACAAAGGCGCAGCTGGCTGATGCATGAACCATTCGATCGTATTCATCTCATGGTCAACAGCGGGGTTTGCTCAGACTATTTGGCCGAAGTTATGGAGAGACCCCAGGTGGCGTCGGTGGATGCATAACTTTGTGGTAGCCTAGCGATTCTGCTACCGTCGAATACTTTGCAGGCAGTAACAGGTCATCGTTGTCTAACATATTTGGGTCCGCCCAGTCTCCGAAGAATCGTAAGCTCATTATGTTATGTTGGTGTTGATCCTGGCCTGTCATTGGCCAGTCCTGCTTGACAAATCAGCAGCAAGCAGGCTTGCTGTCAGCAATTAGGATCCCCCTGGCAACCTGGCCCTCCCCCCTTTTATGTATCGATCTTCTCCCCCCCCACGCTCTCCGGAACCCCGCGGGTGCACCAACCATGGCTTCCCATCCCCTCATCGGACTCCCCAAGGTCTATGCGAGCAAGGGGAATAAATGCGTCCCACCCACCAATGACTTCCTCCTCGGGACATGGCATGTCACCCACTCCAGTCTGCCACTCTGGAAGGGCAAGTGCAACGTCAACATCACCTACCAGATGCTGCCGCCCGACGCGTCCAGCACGATCAAGATCGACGACCTGGTGCGATACCAAGCCCTCGGATCGGACAAGGTCAAGACGGTGCACGGGGTGGACACCCCGACGCCAGGAAACCCTGGGGCCTGGGACTGGCGCGGCAAGGGCTGGCTGATGATTGCGAGCTCGCACTGGGAATGCCTCGGCTTCGGGAATGCCCTGGATGGCAACCAATGGCTGGTCACTTACTTTGCCAAAACCCTCTTCACCCCGGCCGGCGTTGACATCTACTCGCGAACCCCGGACGGGCTGCCCCAGACCATGATCGATGAGATCCTCGCCGCGCTCAAGGGACTGGGGGTGGAGGAGATCACGGAACTGGCCAGCAGCATCTTTTCGATTCCGCAAACCAGCCATGCAGAGTGCCCGAGCTGAAAGAAGAGAATGGGAATCTGTCTGTAGGAAGCTTTAAGCTCGATACTCAGCCATGGCGATGTATATATTCATGTCCTACAGTGGCAGTGCCATGTGGAAGCGATGGGCTGTTCCTTGCAGCTGCCTCTGCTCGGAAGGCACTGCGGGGCTGGCCTCCACCGGAGAAAGATCAGGCGATCTGCAGCAGACCCTGGCAGCAACCCTGAAGAATCGTCAGCTTTTAATTAACCGACGCCCGATTTCTCCCCCAATCATTTTCCGCATCAGACCTGCAGAGTGTCCCTCTTTTCGTTGTCCCAGCATATATGTAGCGCCCTGGATGCAGACGCCGGCGGGCCCGTGTAGTCTCTCATCTTCTCCTCAGCTTGACCTTAACGAGATGCGAACGGCCTCTATTCTTACCTCCGTGGCATTGGCCAATGCCGCTGCTGCGTCGCTGCAAATTGTTCGTCCTGGTCGTTGTACCGCATCAATCCTCCAGCGACTAACTGCGATAGGTTCCGGGCGCGACCTGGACGGCCGAAGGAACCAACAAGCATATCCAGGCGCACGGCGGCGGCATCATCGAAGTCGACTCGGTGTACTACTGGGTCGGGGAAAACCACACGGACGGCAGCGCCTTCCAGTCCATCAACTGCTACTCCAGTACCGTTCGTATCGCCCATCCTTCCCCATGAGCATCCTTCTAAGCCGTGCAGAATCTGGTCGAATGGACCTTGGTGGGCGAACTTCTCTCCCTGGAGAGCAGCGGCGACTTGGGCCCCGACCGGGTGGTCGAGCGACCCAAGATCCTCTACAACGATGACACCTCCACATATGTGATGTGGCTGCATATCGACGACAGCTCCTATGCCGAAGCCAAGACCGGCGTGGCCACTTCGTCGAGTGTCTGCGGGACATATGACTATCTGTAAGCCTCCCGAGGGATTAATGCCTATCGCGAAGACTAACTCTCGTGTCAAGAGGGTCGTTCCAGCCTTTAGGGCACCAGTCGCGTGACATGGGACTGTACAAGGATGACAATGGCGCCGCGTATCTGCTTTCAGAAGATGTGAGTGAGCATGTCCTCGATGGATGCACCCTACTAACCGGCCCAGCGCCCCAACGGCCTGCGGATCGACCGGCTGACCGACGACTACCTCAACGTGTCCTACACCACCCATCTCTTCCCGGAGCACTACGAGGCCCCGGCCTTGTACAAGCAGGACGGAGTGTACTTTATGTTTGGATCGCAACTGACTGGTTCGTTTCCTTTTCTCAGCTTGATGTAGCCTGACTGACCAGCATAGGATGGTGTACGTAGCTACCCAGAGTATGCACGCCTGATATACCACTGACCGCGATGACAGCTGCCAATGATAACAAGTACACCACTTCGACGGACCTCAATGGCACGTGGAGCGATTGGAGCGACTTTGCGACCGCGGGAACCGACACCTATGACTCCCAGACCACCTTTGTCATGCAGGTTGGCGAGAGTGTGATGTGAGACGCCCCGTAGATGGGCATGTCTTTGTACTACTGACACAAGCAGGTACATGGGCGATCGCTGGATCTCGACCAATCTGATGGCGTCAACGTACATCTGGTTGCCATTGACGCTGGACGGCACCAACGCGACCTTGGTTTGATCCTCGAATCCGTTCAGGTTGCAGCCTGCTGACGGTAACCACAGGTTGACAGCTCCAACTGGATCCCCTCCCTGGACGGGACCTGGTCCTCTGGAGGCGAGGAGACCGACCCCGAAGCCGAAGCCTCCAGCAATGTGCTCTCGAACGGCGCGACCGTCATTTCATGCAGCGGCTGCTCGGGCGGCGAATCCGTCGGCTGGATCGGCGGCCCCGACAACGGCACCCTCGAGATCCGCAACGTGTCCAGCGAGGCCTCCACCACCACCAGTATCCAGGTGCGCTACGAAAATGGAGATTCCTCCCAACGGTTTGCAACCGTCACGGTCAACGGCAAGTCGCAGATCCTGGCGTTCTTGCCGTCCGACAATGGGAATACCCCGGCCTCGTCCGTGCTGAATGCTCAGTTGGAGAGCGGCGATGACAATGTGATTATCTTTAGCGCGTATGAAGAGGGATACGGTGAGACTTCCCACGAGGGGTGTAGACGGATGTTGCTAACATTACTGGCGAATAGGACCTGATATTGACCGGTTGCTGGTGCCGGATGAGTAGGCCCGAGGGTGACTTGAGCGACAGGTCTGGATTTAAGTCAATCTACGCGAAGGGTTCATGTGGAGGCAATGGAAGTGATCTGTATATCGACTCAGCTCGAAATTCATCTCTTATGAGAATGAAAATGTCCGGAGTAGATGCAGGTGCGGGGAGATGAGGTTGACCTTCTCGTAGACATGGCGGCGATATATACCTTCCACACAGTGAATGAGCTACTAAGTAGGCTCTGCATAAGATAATACCTTACTTCTACGAATGAAGAGGGACCTCCACGGATCGTAACGAAACCTGCTCGGGGCCAAGTCGGCCTGAGCGCCGTCTCGGAGGGCCCCGAGGACGGCCCCGAAACAATCCCTCCCCCGACTCATCCTTCCATGGTAGATCCAGGCCGTCGGCCCCTGTTGCACTCAGGACAGACTGGTCATAGTTTAAATTCACGCTTCTACGTTAGCTCCGAAATGAAATGACGCAGAAGATCTTCCTTATATCCCACCCGACCCTTTCTCGCCAGATACGCACTCGAAGGGATCCCAAGTCCTCGGGGTGCTGTCCTCGGGGGGTCATCCTCGGCGCTCATCATCTCCACGAGCCCCAGTTCCCCGCATCCCCGGATTCTGCAAGTCTGCTCTGGCTCAATGGCAGCTCAGGCCGCATTGACCTCCTCGGGATGGTGGTGGAGAGCAATCGGGCGCGTCGCGAGGATAAAGTCGTAACCCACAGCCATGCTCATACCCTGCCAGAATGCTGGACACCCTATCGCCATGGCTGACAAACAGATTGCAGTCGACTGTCTGGAACATGTCGACCAGGTGCTGGTCGACGAAACGGGTCGCATCCAGCGTCTCCCGGTGCCCAGCGATGATCCCAACGATCCCTTGAACCTGGCCCTGTGGGAGAAGACGGGCATCGTGGTGTGCTGCTGCTGGTTTTGTAAGTTCTTCGCACACAGCTTCAAGTTCTATTCATGCTAACCGGATAGCTATCATGTCGCTCTCCGTCATCGGCGGACTGGGATCAGTCCTGGACGTCTTCTTTCAGATGTATGGCGCCGAAGGCCACAGTACCAACCAGGTCGTATGGCTGTCGACCTTTCCATCGCTGTTTGTAGGCATTGGTAGGCTGATCCATGTTCCCATTTTTGTCAGCAACTGAGGAGTACCAGGAAACTACTTTATCTTGCCGCTAGCCCTCATTTGCGGCCGCCGACCCGTGATGCTCATCGCCAACACCGTCCTGTTGGGCTCGCTCATCGGCTGTGCCCTGTCGCAGAATTGGGAGGAGCATTTCGGACTGCGTATTGTATTGGGATTTGCGACCGGCGCGACGGAATCAGTCTGAGTCCCACATCCTCTTCCGTCATCCCCGCTGATAATGAATAGCTCCTCCCCCTGATGCTCGCCGAGGTGACCTTCATCCACCAGCGCGGCACCATCTACGGCATCTACTGGGCCACCCAAAATATCGTGACCAGCCTGTTGACGCTTGCCAGCTCCTACGAGGTCGCCGCGCTGGGCTGGCGCTGGTTCTACTGGGTGTTTGTCATTACCGTCGCGGTCGGCCTGGTGCTCGTCGGATTCTTCTGTTTCGAGACCCGGTTTCCGCGCCGGGCGGTCCTCGTCGACGACCATGTGGCAGTCACCGATCAGTACGGCGTAACCCGAGTCCTCGATGCCGAAGAAACGCGGGAATACCTCGCGCGAGAAGACAACCTCCACTCTTCCCTCCAGGGAGAAGTCCCTCCCAAGAAAACCTACCGCCAGATGCTCAGTCCCTGGCCCGGCCCATCCCCCCATCCAGTCCGCACCATCCTTCGAACCTGGTGCCAGATGCTCGAGACCTTCAGCTCCCCGGGGATCATCTACGCGACGCTGCTCTCCGCCGTCATTCTGGGCGGTTCCGTTGGCGTCTCCCTCACCTACGACACGGTCCTGCAATACAACTACCACTGGCCCGCCTCCAACATCGGCCTGATCAATCTGGGCGGGGTCTTCGGCGGGCTGGGCGGGATGCTCTACGCCGGAATCTTCGGCGACCGGTTCATCGTCTGGATGGCGCAACGGTCCGGGGGCGTGCATCAACCCGAACACCACCTCCTCTTACTCATCGCGCCAGGTCTCCTCGCCGTCGCCTCATTACTGCTCTACGGCTTCACCGCCAGCGGCACCGCCACGTGGGGCGGACCCTTCATGGGCTGGACACTGTACCAAGTATCATTCGTATCGACGCTCATCCGGACGACCTCGTTCGCGACCGAAGCGTGGGAGAAGAATCCCGGCCCGGCGTTGGTCACGGTCGTGGGGACGAAGAATCTGATCGGCTTTGGGGTGAGTTATGGGTTGAATCCGATGGTGGCGCGGTATAGTTATCCGGCGGCGATGGGGATTTTGGCCGGGGTGGTGGGGGGTGTGCTGCTCCTAGGGGTGCCGGTGTATTTTTTTAATCCGATGGTGAGTATTCCGTATCTCTTGGGGGTGTTTGATATGGGTGCTGATTTGGGGTAGTGGAGACGGTATATTAGCCAGCAGAGGAGGGTGGAATAGGTCAGTAGATGAGTGAGAGGTTGGACTAGGAGGTTCACAATGATGTACATGTCTAGTGGAAAGAGCATCTTCCTATCAATCAAGTGTCTTTTGCGAGTTTTCTGTATATGTCCCTAATTAGTGGTGGACCCGGGAAGCATGAAACAGGAAGCGTCACTTGCAATATCCCCATTCTCCGACATACAAAGAAGTAATAGACAGCTGAACTACATTGGTCCATTGCAAATCCCTCCTATGCAACAGACACCCAGTAATCAGCTGTCGGGAAGTGGAGGACGATAGAGTGCCTTCTCGGGGATGGCCATCTCGGGGGCATCCGTTCTCGGTCGTGCCCGAGTTCCCCCGAGTCTCATCCACAGTCCCCAATTCGCTTGATGCACGGATGATCTACATGCTGATAGTCACAAAAAAGGACAACAACTCTTCAAAGAGCCAAATTGACATCATGATCAGAACCTATTAATTCCCAGAGAAACCGAGCTAACAACAGCTACCACAATAACAGTTATAAACACCAATGCGGTCCCGCAACCAACTCCACTGTGCGTCTAAGCTCAAATACAGTCATCAATCCCTACCCATCATCACGGCGCCACAATCGCCCGGACAATATCCTGCAAATCTCCCTCCACCGTAGTCGCCAACTGCTCCGCCTCCAACTCCCACGGAACATGCGCCGCATCGCCCAGACCGGCACGCACCAGACGCACACGACCCTCCCCCTGCTCCACCAACTCCTCATTCTCCCACCGCAACACCCCAGGGGTCGACAATCCCACCCCCAGCTCCAGAATCACGACATTCCGGTGACGATCCGTCAGAAACGTCTCGCGAAAATCATGCCACCGCTCCTCGCCCGCAGCAAAAGGCCGCTCATTAAACCAGTCCCCGCCGCGAACACACAGAAACATCGCCCCCCCGCAGAACGCACACGTGGGGACCTTATCCGAGTCCGTCAGCACCTGCGTCACGGGGTCGAGATACGGCAGCGCGGCCTCCAGATAGGGCGCTGACGGAACCACCGCATCCGGATGACAATCCTCCAAACATTGCAGATACGCATACTGGCCCTGCGGCGTGGAGAGTTGTTCCTCGGGGAGATCATGAGCGCGGAACTGCCCATCTGCATTCGAGGTTCGAACATGCACCCGATCCGGGGCGAAATTCGACCCCAGGTATTCAATCAGGGAGGTATACAGCGGGGAGCGGGGCCAATTCCGCACCATGGCCATTTGGGTGAAGTAGAATCCCCAACGGACGTTCTCGGATGGCCAGTCGCGGAGGGTGCGGTCGAAGCAGTCGTAGAGACGGCGCATCCGGTATTTTTTGAACGCGGGGAAGTGTTGGGTGAAGAGAGTGGTAGAGGTATAGTCGAGTCCGATGGCCGCGGAGATGCCGGCGCCGCAGCTGACGAGGATGGTGTCGGCGGCGCGGAGCCAGGCTTTGGCTTGGTGGAGGGAGGGGCTGTGGACTTGGGGTGGGGTGGGGAGGGAGGGGACGGGCGCGTACGTCTTGGTGAGGATTTGCTGGTAGGTGGCGGTATCGGCGTCGCGGAAGGTGTTGAAGATGATGTTGGTGATGGTGGTGTCGGGGTGGCGCTGTAGCCAGTTGATGACGGCGGCCACGGCCAGGGGGGCCGCGTCTTCGACGGGAAAGGCGAAGAGACCGGTCGAGATGCCGCAGAGGGCGATGGTCTTGCCTTGCGGGTCGGATAACGGGAGAGTTTCGGCGGCATCCAGGATGGCCTCGTAGCATTGCTGCAGCTGGTGGCGCTGCTGGGAGGTTGGGGCGGATTGTCCGGCATCGAGCTGGGGGCCCACGGTGTGGATGATATATGACGCGGGCAGACAGTAGCCTTGGGTGGTACATGCCTGACCGACGGGTAACTGACGCTTTCCGCGCTTCATCAGACGAAAGCACGCCTCGCGCAGGCGGGGACCCGCACGAGCGTGGATGATGTTGTCGATGCAGCGATGGGCGGGCTGGAAACAGCCGAGCATCTCGCTGTTGGCGGCGTTGGTGATGGCCGTGACTCCATCCAGGGTGGTGATGTCGCCCTGCCAGAGATGGAGGGTGGCTGGCAGGGTGGTGGCCGGAGTTAGGGCTGGGAGGGAGGTGGCATCGATGAGGACGCGCTGGGCGCGCTCGTCCAGCAGGACCTGCTCGATGTCCTGTAGCAGAGCGGGATCAAGGGGCTCCCGGGGGTGTCGCACACAGAGCAGCTGCTTCATGAGGGTGTAGTGGGCCCATGCCTCCATGGACTCGATGGACTCGATGCCATGGTGGTGGCCGTGTTGGCAGGTGTATCGCTGGGACTGGAAGTAGTGGGAGTCGCCCAGGAGGGCTTGCAGGACGGACAGCACGCACCCGGTCATGATGCCAGAACTTCAGGACAATTAATCCAGGATCACTGTACAAGGGGGATACCATTCTGACTCCGGTCTTCGATGGGGGCCCTCGTCGCCTTTGTAGGCGAAGAATCCCCCTTGGCATTGGCGACAATACAACCAGATCACCACCAGTTTGACCGGTTTGTCCTGTTTACACGGGCGATGCAGCCAATCATGAGCTGCCTCTGTTTTGCACTGTTTGTGCGGGCGGACCCGAGTTGGAGTCCCCGAGTTGGACTTGGCAGTGTTTGCCAGCGATGCAAATGCCCAGTCTCGTGACTGTGACTGTGGCTGTGACTATCTGCCAGTTGGCGATCAACATGGCGAGTAGTAACAAAAGATTCCCCACCCACCCGGTAATGACAGGGCTATCCCAAAATGGCACTTGCACCACCGAATCATCTTCTGACCGCGACGGTGGTCAGTGGAATACGACGTCGCACAATGACAGCTTCTCTTACGATCTCCCATTGACACCGGAAGCCAGCGGAGCTGCAGGACCTTGACAATCATTCCATCCCTCTCGCTGACTCGTATCCCGGTGGTAGCCTATCTCCGATCCGACAGCCGGGCCAGTCGACAGGGGTACGACGGGCCCTAACTCTTAAGGCTTCCAGAACATAAATGGCCGGTTCTGTGGGGTCCACAGAGTGGAGACGCAACAGCACAGTTTAATGACCGGTTCTATTCAACAATCCTGCAACTTCAGATTCGGGACTCAGGCCTGGGCGCCAAGAACAGAAATGGGGAGGGAGAGACACTCTGGGGCACACCAATCCCTCGACAACCGAGCAAACCAAACGGATGCCGCCGTCTCCATGGATGCTTACCCGGCATACCCTCTTTCACGGCCGTCAAAGCACAGTCGAATTGATCCATGGGTGGACGACAGATGACCCGAAGGCTTGGGTCACGCTGATAGGAGCGATCGGTTACACCAACAACTAGTGCCAATTCTCGTACTACAGCGGGCCCTCACAACCCTATATCATGCCGTGCTTCCTGTTCCCAACACAGCTTGTGCATTGAATTAACAGCAGCAGCAGCAGCAGCAGCGTAGTCATGACTGAATCTACTATTCAAGTACCGGGCAAGCCCGAGGTTATTGAGAATCGTCTCTACATCAACGGGGAGTTCGTCCCATCCCAATCCGGGGCCACATTCGACCTGTATAACCCCGCCACCGAAGCCCACAGTGCTTCGGTCTACGAGGCCGGTCCTGAGGATGTCGACCGGGCCGTGGCGGCTGCCAAAGCGGCCTTTCCAGGCTGGTCTGAACTCGGTGCCCTGCAACGTGCCCACTACCTGGAGAAATGGGCCGACAACCTGGAGAAACGCACAGCCGAGCTATCCAGCGCATGGCCGCGGAGTCGAATCTCAAGGCCCGTAGATCTGGAATTGGGCGGGAAATCACCCCTCGTGATCTGGGACGATGCCGATCTGAGCAAGGCGGTGCCTGCCGCGGCGAGGTCGATCCTGGGGAACTCGGGACAGGTGTGTATTGCGAGTTCGCGGGTGTATGTCCATGTGGCGATAGCGGGGGGACTTTATTGAGATGCTTGCCACGACGATGAAGGAGATGGGGGGCGGTGGGGATCCGTTGGACCCGAAGACCACGCGCGGGCCGCAGGCGGATGCGGTGCAGTTTGAGCGCGTGCGGGGATATCTGCAGCTCGCGCAGGAGGAGGGGGTGAAGGTGTACTTGGGTGGTGGTCGGGAAGGGAGCACGGGGTACTTTGTGCAGCCGACGATTCTGGCGGATGTGCCGGAGTCGTCGAGACTGGTTCAAGAGGAGACTTTTGGCCCGGTGGTGGTGGTAAATACCTTTGAGGAGGAAGAGGATATGATGAGGCGGGCGAATGATACTGAGTATGGGTTGTATGCGAGTGTGTATACGCGGGATATTTCCCGGGCGTTGCGGGCGGCGAAGCGGTTTGAGGCGGGCAGTGTGTGTGTGAATTGTACGAGTCCGACCATGGCGTTTGATATGCCGTTTGGGGGGTGGAAGGGGAGTGGGCAGGGACGGGAGTTGGGACGGTATGCCACGGAGCATTGGACCGAGGTGAAGTCGGTGTTTATTGCGTTGTAATTGATTATACTTCTTACTATGGATTGTAGTTACGTTTTGATTTGTGCAGAAAGTAAAAATCATCATTAATCATCACACATGTAGCCCTCATAAGTACATCAAGGAAAGTCTCATCAATCATCACAACGCCAAGCCAAGGAAAGTAGAACATATAGACATAGACATAGACATTAAGGAGTGTATCATCATCACACATCATTACAACTGCTCCGGCGCTGGCACTTCACCCAGCGCCTTGACCACGGCCCGCAAGGCCGGGTTGACCTCCTCGGCCGCCGTCTCCAGCTCGCTCAACGCATTCAGCGCTTCGCGGCCCAGCTGCCGGATCAGATCATACGTCGCCTGGAGGGCGCCCGTCGCCTGCACCAGCGCCACGATCTGGCGCTTGCTCTCGATCGGCAGCACTGCGCCGGCCTGCTTCTGACGGAAAATGCCAAAGATGATGGCCCGTCCGGCCGGGTCCATGTTGCAGGCCCGCACAATCGGGTACGTGACCTTGCCCTGGTCGAGGTCCTCGCCAAAGGAGCGGGCACTGGAATCCAGCAGACCCAGGTATTCGTGACGGATCTGCGAGAGGCGACCGAGCACCTTGGCGAAGGGCTCAAAGTCGAGGCTGGACCCGCCCATGCTGGCGGCCTGCATGAGACGCGTCAGCAGGCGGAAGCTGGACCCGGCCTTCTGGTCGACCATGGCCAGGTACTCGCTCTCCCCCGGGCAATGGGTCGAGAACCGCCAGTTCAGTTCCCAGGACTGGCCGACAAAGTGGGCTTCCAGTTCCTGCAGGAGACCGTCCAACATGCCGGGGCAGTTGAGGCTGGTGAGGATGCGGGCGGCCCGCACAAACATGTAGGCGGCGCTGTTCATGCATTGCGCCGGACCGTACACCAGGTGGGCCGGGGTGCGTGCATCGCGCAGGACGGCCTGGTCCTGGACGTCGGCCAGCATCAGGGTGGAGTCCTGCAGCTCGGTGATGACCTGCTTGATGAACGAGAGGGGGCGGTTGGGGACCTGCAGCCAGGCGTTGAGGGCCGTGAGGAGATCCGTCTGCAGGGTGCTGACGGCAATGGTGCGGGCGTAGCTGGTGGGAGCCAGCAGGGCGGATGTATCCAGCTGCACTTCCGGGGTTTCTTCTTCCGGCGCCAGCGGCGTCCAGACGGCCACTTCGACGGCTTCTTCGCTCTCGGGCTGCTGGACTTCTTCGGCCTCTTCTTCTTCCTCCTCTTCCTCGTCGTCATCCTCGTCATCTTCATCGTCGGTATCATCGGCCTCGGAGGACTCTTCCTCGTCGGAGCCGTCTTCCTCGGACGACTCCTCTTCGCTCTCCTCGGCGGTGTCGGGGATGGCATAGCGAGGGGCGTTCTTGCACCAGTAGTGGATGCCCGCCAGGGAGGAACCCAGGACTTCCATCCACTTGCGGAGCTGCGGGGCCAGGTCGGGGTTGGCCTGGTAGAGGGCGTCGCGACGGCGGACGAACTCGTGCTCGTTGTCGATGATCAGCTGCTTGGCCTTGGCCTTGGCGTCATCCTCGGACATGTTCTGGTGCTCCATGAGGAAGAGGATGACGTTGGCGACGGGGCGCTTCTTGGAGACGCGCTTCTCCTTGGGCCAGCTGTAGTAGTCGTTGGTGAAGAACATGGTGCGCTCGGCGGCATCCAGCGCGTCGCGTACGACCGCCTGGTCCTCCTTGCCGAGGCGAGTGCCGTGCGCGAAGCCCATGAGGGTCCAGTAGACGCTATCAAGATTAGCTGCGCTCTTGTTCGGATATACTCTCGGGTGGACTCACTCAATGCCCGCATTGAGGCGTCTCCGGGCGACATAGTCGTCGAGGTTGGCGCAGTTCTCGGCCGTGGGAACCTCCGGGGTGACCAGCCAGTTGCTGCGGTAGCAGTCGATGATCTCGTGGCCGTCCTTGTCCTTCTCCGACAACTCGGACATGGCCTTCTCGAGGAGTTTCTTCCGGGCTTCGACTCGAGGGGATTCGACCGGCTCGTCGGGCTTCTGCGCCGTCTCTTTGCCTTTTTGTTTGTCTTATACGTCAGCGGCGCGCTGGGAATGCAGCGGGGGAATGGGGGGTACATACCATCATGCAGGCTGCCGAGTTCGGTCAGGTAGGCCACGGTCTCGAGACGCTCGGGCAGACATTCGGGATAGAGGAAGCTGGCGTAGTTGCCGACAGGGGAGGAGAGGTAGCTGGTCTGGGGCTCGTCGGTGTTGAGGGCGGCCGTCAGGTCTTGCACAAAGCGGTCGCTCCCGCGCTGAGCGACATGGTCGTATTTGTGAATGCGAGGGGTCAGGGTAGTGAAGCAGTCCTTCAGGTACTCCTCATCCTCAGGAAGCACCTGCGAATACCCCCAGACCTCGACGGGCTCGTTGGCCGTAGGGGTTTCCGACGCAGGTTCGGACTGCGCGGCGGACAGGACTTGGCTGATGGTGCTTCCCCTGCTGCGTCGCCTCTTGTGGGACAGAATGTGGGAGTACTGCTTGAACATTGGGGTGATGGGAACCGTCACAAATCAAACAGCAAAAGATGACAGAGACAAAGAAGTTGATGGACGACCTGCAATGCGGGTCACAGGTTCACAACGCGATCGACGCGGGACGAGTTGGGGGAGAAAGGGAAGCAGGAGAAGTAGCGACAACACTGCGCCAGACGGGGTCTTTAATAGCACTGGGATGGGAGGGGGGGGAAAAAGTTCGCGGCGGGCGTCATGGCCTGACAAAATTTTCTCTTATCGAAGGGGACAGCATGGACCTCCCGGTGGTACAAACGGCGTCGCCTTGGGGAGCTGCAGAGAGGCCGGGATGCGAGCTAAGCTGCGATCGACGGGCTGATTGGGCGCATCACTGCAGCTGTTTGTGCGGCTACAGCAGTTCGTGGGTCCGCCAGCGGCCTGGAAGGTGAGTTAGTGTTGGTTAGGGCTGTTTAGCTTCATCGTCGCTTGCCCGAGTGGATCGCCGTGCGGCCTCACCGCTTCATCCACGACGCGACCGACTATCGTCTCATTGGGCCAACACATGTCCACCCGGGGGGGGTTTGGGAGGACAATGACGATGTGCTTTGCTTGGGGAGGGTCATTGCCCGCCGCGGGGGCGACTCGTTTTTTTTTTTTTTTTTTTTTTTTTTTTTTTTCTGATTCTTTGTTCGATCGATGCGACAAGCATTGTTTGACTGCCCATCGGGCCAGGTTGTGCACGGCAAAGCTGGAGTTGGACGGGACGGAAGGGCCGGGCCAGCCCACGGCCCATTTTTTTTTTTTTTTTTTTTTTTTTTTCACGAGGGGGTGGCCAGGATATCCTGTCCAGGTGGCTGGAGTGACACGGCAGACGGGTGTGCAGCCAGCTGCAGCGATGCAAAGAGGGTGATGCGATATCGACGACGGAGATATCATGTAGATAGAGAGCGCGACATTGATCTGAGCAGCCAGCAGCAAGCAATGCAATCCGGTGTAATGACCGTCAGCAAAGCAAAGCAAAACATCAGCTAACGGCCCCACCTGCCCGAGTCGGAGAAAGCCAAACATCCAAATATCCCTGGAAGCATCGCGATCGCGGGTCCAGCACGGCTGCTGTTGCCCTCGTTACCAGGTCGGCAGTTCATTCTCTCCCCTCTGGATTTGCAGATGGTGCGATTATTGCCATGGCTTCATGAGGTGCCGGATCTGAATGCTGCAACATGGAATGCTGCCTCGCTGGACAAAGTCTATACACAAAGTCTATACACATTTAGGTTTAGCCCCCTCCAACCCTGGCATCCTTAGCCAAGCAGTAGACTTTCACCAGATCACCAACCGACAATCTCTGCACTCCAATCCTACATCGATGCTCGGACCAGGAGGGTCCTTATCCTCCAGAGATAGTATCTAGCATCACTTTTTCCGGGTGGGTAATCCTAGTGCTCCTCTACCACCACAAACTGACCCCCTCAGTGGGCCACCGACTGTGGTTAATTCTCCGGCGGGCCTCCCATTGGCGGGATGCAGTTGATCATGCTCGCTTCCCTGCTGTGATGCTTTCTCGTCATTGCTCTGCTGCTTGCTGCTTGCTGCTTGCATCCTGGTCTGCCCCTCCGTCCGAGTGGAAAGTTGTCGCTGGGGCGGGATGGCATCGCATCTCGGCGCAACCCCGACACCCACTACAGTGCCAGGGCACAGTGCCCGTAGCAGATCCCGCCTTGCGTCGAGGATCTTGTTTACGCTAGTTGTATTAAGGTAGCCAATCTGGAGCTGCCAGCGAAAACACCAGATAGGAAAGCTAGTAAGTAGTAGGTAGGTAGCCTGGTCACCTCTTATCGGGAGGGATGTCGTTGGCTGACACCCTGATGAGACAATTGGCCCAAAGGAGTAAACAACCAGGTCACTTGACAGAAGGCGTGGAAGATAGTCCCGAGTGGGGACCACGATGCAGCTGCATCGGTGGGTTGCGATCGGCAGGCCCGAGGTGCAGGCATCATTCCCTGGTGGATATGATTGATATCATGGATTTATGGACATCGATGGACTAGAAAAAGGGAAAAAAAAAAAGAAAAGAAAAAGAATGTGCATCATCCGTGAATCGAACACGGGCCTCATCGATGGCAACGATGAATTCTACCACTAGACCAATGATGCTAGTGTTTGAGTAACGGGCTTGTATTTTATTTTATCAAGGGGCAAAATATGCTAGCGGGCCGTCAATTAAAAGCGGCTGTTCAGCCCACCTGGGCAAATGGGTTTTCTAGTCAGTGATCTAAAATGCCGGGTTCCAGACACAATTTACATTAATATCGAGTCGACACTAAATCCAGTGTATTACCTGGCTTCTGCCAGTATGGATAATAGTAGCTAGAACTCAATATTCCTGGTTTATGGATTCAGACCCCTTAAGACGGAAGGAATATATAACTTGGGAGCGGCTGCATATTACAGACCATTCACATGTCATGACTCACCGATCCAAATAAAGCTAGACTCGCTACGAATACAAAGAAACAGCGTTGAGTTGATTTTGTTGCCCTTCAATTTATACACGCAAAAATAGGTATATACTGCAGTTGGGAGAAGGACCAATGGCACGCATAGTTGGATCACGTGATTCATTGAGATCTACGGAGTCTACACGGACCAAAAATTAGAGCTTATTGAAACATTCTGTGATTCGATCTGGATCTCATTCGTAATATTCACACAGAACCGGACATGGGGTGAGTAGCATGAATTATATACCCCCGTCTCTATACGGCTTGTAGCCAGCCAGGGGACAATCATCTCAACCAGCTTCGTGGCGAGACGCAACCTAGAGAAGGGGATAGATAGAAGGAGCAAAACTGTAACTAGGTTACCAGCAGTAAGGAATTGACTCTATTGGATGTAGTAACTATCAACTGGCTCATAGCCTGGCTATAAACATCACAAACTCACAAAGAAGCACAAAACACGCAACACACTCCAAACTCCATCCGTCAATCTACGCAGCCAACACCGCCCCCAAAATCGGACTCTTCGTCAACCCATACACCCCCTCAATATACTCGCGACTCAACGAAAACGGTGTCCCCATAACATTCGGAATCCACTTGCCCACCAACTTCTGCGGATCGACCTCCGTCTTGGGAATCCGTTCCTCCAGGAAATTGCGATACGAGGCGACCCCCGGTCGCAAGTGCGCTGAGTGGAATGGCACGTCGATGCCCTGCAGGGGGATCGTCGCGAGACTGCGTTTCAGGGTTACGGGGGTGGGGAGTTGGCGCGCCGCGGCGATGCAGCGCTGGATGAGCTTGGTGGATTCCAGGTCAGCGCGGTCGGTGGCGGGGGGGTGGGTGAATTCGTGGGCCAGGGCAGCGCCGGTAGGGGATCGGGCGAGGGTGTCGGTGATGGCGGCGAGGGCGTGGAGGTTCTCCAGCTGGATCATTCTATCAGGCATATGCAGAATGTATCGAGGAGAGGGATGCTTACCGTTCCGGCACACACATACTGCTCGCCCTCGACGTTGAAGTTGACAATCTCGAGCAGGGCATTGGTCGAGGTGGCGATTAGGGTGACAATTTGCCTCAGGGCCTTCTCGGAGAAGACTGCACAGCTCGTCAGTACTCCCCATGCGAGAATGGTATAAGTACTCACATTTCCCCACCCGAGCCGGGTTCACGGCCGCCATGGAAAAGTTCGTCCGGCCTTGATCATCCCGCTCAATGGCCACTTGCATCGCCAGGCCTCGGTAGAACACCACCCGGAGCAGATCCGTAAACGGCATAAACTCGCCAAACGACGCCAAAGCTCCGTACTCGCCCAGAGAGTGGCCGGCAAACGCGGCATCCTGCTGCACGACGCCTCGCTGGCGAAGATCCTCCACGGCGGCGCGCTCGAGCAGCAGCACCAGGGGCTGTGCGAATTGCGTCGAGAAGACCAGGCCTCGGGGGTCCGCAAAGATGTACGAGGTGGAAGCGGGAGTCAGCTCCGGGAGGATAGGCTCCTTGACCACGGATCCATCCGGACGGTACGCGTCAATAGTCATGGCCATGTAGTTGGCCTTAATCTGGCGACCGCGGTTACCCCGGAAGTGCACCGTGAGGGCTGTCGGGTTCTGGCGGACGAGCTCGAGGACGGACCATCCTGGGGAAAATGTTAGCTTGCGATGGATCGGGTGGGGAAAGAGACGTACCATAGGTCTCGATGAAGAATTTGTCCGCGGCGTCCCAGATAGCTCGGGCAGCCGGGCTGGACTTGTACAGACTCTGGCCCATCCCAGGAGACTGACTGCCCTGGCCGGTAAAGACGTACACCGTCGAGGGCTGGTCGACCTCGGCCTCGGCCTGGATGACCGCCTCGTCGGTGCCGGCCTTGACGGCCGTGATCTTCAACAACAGCCGACCCTCAATCATGGCGACGTGCTGGACGCGCACCTCCAGCTGGTCCTCCGGAAGAACCATGCCGACAAACGAGCAAGCCCAGCGCCGGAAGCGGGAGACATCGCCCTGGGCAGCGCAGCGCTCGGCGACGGCACGCACCGCGGCGGACGTGTACATGCCGTGGGTGATGGTGCCCGGCAGCTCGACGTACCGCGCAAACACGGAGGAGATGTGAATGGGGTTGTAGTCGCGGGAGAAGGTGCTGTACGCCGTGTTGGTGACAGGGATCTGCACGCCCTCGGAGGTCTGGTTCAGCTCCATGGCGACGTCGAGCGTCTTGCGGGCCACCAGGGGCTGGCCACGACGGCGGAGGAAGTCCGAGACCGGGTTGGCCTTGCAGTCTTGGGCGTGGAACGAGACTCGACCGATAGGTGTTTGCTTGCCGTTCCAGGACAAAAGAGACACGGTGCCGCTGGTTTGCAGCGTCTTGAAGGTCGTCTGGTCCTTCCACTCGGTGGATGTCTCCAGCTGGAAGCACAGGGTCTTGCCGACGAGTTGGGCCTCGGCATCATCGAGTTGCAGCCAGGGACGGGACTGGAGCAGCGCCTCGTCGACCGGGGTGGCGACCTCGAGCTGAGTGACGGGCTCGGTGATGCGCTCGAAGCACGAGGCGTAGTCGGTGTATGGACCGCGGATGAAGAAGTTGGCCGTGACACAGGCAATGGGCTCGTCCGCGCGCTCGATGGTGGCCTTGACCACGACGGACTTGCCAGTGGGTTCGATGACAATGGCCTGGATCTGCGAGCTGGCGCGCAGCACGTCGCCGATCTGGAACGGTTCGGCCCCGGGCACGTACGCGATGTCGTTGGAGCGATGCACCAGGCGAAGCAGATCGCCCTCGATGCCGGTGCTGATGAGCGGCTCAACCAGCGGCTCCCAAGCGATGACAATGGCAATGTCCATGGGGAGGGCCGTCGGGCGGATGCCTGTGGGGGTGAGACCCAGGGTCTGGTACAGGTCGGCGAGTAGGGTACTGGTGAGAGTGACCTCGGGACCCTGGAAGGTGGCGTGGATGTCCTGGATGGCATCCGCGCCAGCTCCGAGCCAGAGGTTGCGGTAAAAGTCCTTGATGCGGTCATTGCGTCCGTCGACGATCTCTTCCAGGGCCGGGGACAGACCAGATGTGAGGGCCTTGTACTTGAGGGACAGGACAGCAGGGGCCGCCGTGAATGCGCCGGGCTGGTGCAGATCCACCGAGATGTGCTTGGTGGCGTCGCAGTGAATGCTGACCACCGGCTGCTCGGTGCTGCTCTCCCAGAGGACGACGCGCTGCTCCGTGTGATTGACCACCAGCTTCTGACCCGGCTGGACGGTCAGAATGTCGCGGAAGGGGTTCTTCTTGCGAATACCAGCCCGCATGATGGTAGGCGTCTCGAGGAGATCACGCACCCAGCCAAAGGAGCTGGCCGTGATCAGGTCCAGCGAGCTCACCTCCTCCTCCTGGGCGTGGAAGGTCTGAGTAACAGCCGCGCTGCCCGCCAGCGGAGATGTCGCCGCGGCATCGGCAACCTGGGGCACCTGCTGCAGATCGCCCTGGTAGAACTCCTGCAGCGCCGTGTGGGTGTGATAGGCCGCAATGCCATCCAGGATCTCCTGGGCTGATTCGTCCTTGTCGACGGCATATCGGACCGCGACGGGGCCATGCAAGATGCACACCCGCTCGGGATCTTGGCCCACCACGGCCTCGATGTCCTCCGACTGCCACAGGGAATCCTTCTTGAACCACGTCTCAAAGTTCTCGTCCAGAGCCGGCACGAAGGGGACCGGCTTCTGGCCACGCGCCTGGCAGCGACGCAGGAAGAACGCGGCATCATCGGGGTGAAGTCGCTGAGCAGTCGATGAGGAGCACTGCTCGGCCAGCGCCTGCAGGAAGACCGATGGCGTCGACAGAAGACCCAAATCCAGGTCGACCTCCGGGGTGACTCGTTCCAGGGTGCGCAGGGCAAAGTCGGAGACCAGGCGCTGGTAAGAGGGATGAATCCAGCGCTGCTGGTGAGCCACCCACATCAGCTCGACGAGACGACGCAATACCCCAGCATAGGTCATGTCTGCCAGGTCGGCCGGCTGGCCCTTGGCATCCTGGCCAAACCAGGGTTTGGCGTAGTCCTGGTTTAGCCGGGTGATGATCTCCGTCTTCCGCTTGGCCAGCTCCTCAACCATCTTGGGCCGCGGATGCTTGAACAGCGTCTGATCCAAGTCAGCCCACAGCCGGACGCCACGCGTCGCCAGCTTGTGGATGGGCTGGCCCATCTCAGACCGCACCGTGATGATCCCGCCCGCGCTGCCCGTGTAACTCTTCTCCCACTCCTCGTCGGGCACCCCGGGCGTGTTGGCGATGAGCTGCTTCACGGCCGGGCTGGTGTGGGCTTCGCGGCAGAGCATCATGCGACTGCCCAGCAGGATGCCGTCAAAGGGCATGGCCGGATAGCCGCGCGCCACGGACCACTGACCAGACAGGTAGGGGTAGGTGTCTTCGCCCCCGCCGAAGCCACTACCGGCAATGAGATGGATGTTATCGCGCTTGCGGATCTCGGCGTAGGTCGCCAGGATGGGCGCGTGAAAGTCCTCGTACGAGTGATGGCCACCGCCGCGGCCACCGGTCCACTGCAGACCAATGGGGAACGTCGGCTGGTCGTCGGCAATCTGCAGCACGGCCTGAATGCCATCGACGGATCCAGGCTTGAAGGAGATGTGTTGGATGCCGAGATCATCAATGTATTCGCGGGCGACCTCGAGCGACGGCACACCGGCCCCGATGGTCAGGCCGTCAATCGGCACACCCTGCCGGATGAGCTTCTGGATCAGCCGGGTCTGCCAGGCAATCGCCTTGGGGTTGACGTAGATGAGGTTGCAGGTGATGCCGCGACCCGCGGGGATGCTGGCGGCAATCTTTTCGATGGCGACGCGCATCTCGTCCTCGGTGTGGTAGCCGCCGCCGGCCAATTCGATGAAGTAGCCCGCGTTCATGACCGCGGCCACCACATCCCACGGCACCGTGGTGGGGGTCATCCCGGCGGTGATGATGGGAGGGACCTGCAGGAGACGACTGAGCTTCGTGTCGAGGATGAGTCGGCCGTTGGCCGTCTGCACCAAACGGGGCTGGTAGGCCTCGGCCCATGAGGGCTGGGGTGGGCGCAGGGTGGCGGCAAAGAGGTCTGCCTGGCCGGAGACGTCGGCACTCGAGGACTTGATCTCGCTGCCCGCAATGATCTGCTGGCCGTAGCCAAGACGGATCTGCCTGACCAGCTCACTGAGTCGGCCCGCTCCGAGCACGATGTAGTGGGTGGTGGCTGCATCACCCAGGAGGACGGGGAAGTCGACTGGCTCGGTGGTGATGGCGTCCACGAGCGCATCAATCACATTGGCTTGGGGAATGGCGCGGAGATCGGCGCCCGTGGCGGTATGCAGGACAGGCACCTGTAGCTGCTCCGCTGTGACAGTGTGACTGGCCAGACGCGCCTTGATGCGCTGCGACGCCGCTTGCAGATAAGGGGTATGGAACGGGGTGCTAATGGGGAGGAACGAGTGGGAGACGACGGGCTTGCGCTGGCTGAAGGGGATGCGGGTTTGATCCTTCTCGCCGGCCGCCTGGAGTTCAGCCAGAATCTGACTGAGACCACACAGCGACGCGGCCGGGCCGGCCACGATGTGGTTGGTGCGGGCGTTGATGAGGGCGACATGCAGCTGGCGATCCTCGGGGAGCACCTTGTTGCATTGTGCCAGGATCGTGTCGAGGCCCGGACGCTCGAGTCCCCGGACGGAGAGCATGGGCGAGGGCACACCGTGGCCTGCGTCCTTGGTCTCGGCAATCAGCTCGGGCGCAATGAACAGCTGGGGAGCATCCTGGTGGCTCTCAAAACCGATCCAGAACAGCAGCTCCACCGCCAGTCGGGCATTCTCGTAGAACGAGGCCCACGAGTCGGCGCGGGCCACGGCGGCCGCGATGACAATGCCTTGAGAGTGACCGGAGACAGCGTGCAGTGAGGCAGCGACCTGTCCGGGGGTCTGGCCGAGTACCGTGCAGATGACACAGTAGTGGGCGAGGTCGAACAGCCCCAAAATCGGCAGACTCACCGGGGCAGCGCTGACGAAGTCCTCCGGGAGGGTTTCCCCGGCAAGCCAGGCGTCGAGGTCAATGGGGCGGCCGTGGAAGTAGGGTTGCGTGTCGGGCTGTTGGGAGAGCGAGGCCAGGACGGAGCCACATTCTTGGATGAGCGGAGTGAGGATGGAGCGGTAGGTGGTGTACAATGAGCGCAATTCGCGCACGCAGGAGGGATTCGCGGTTCCTTGACCCCCAAAGATGGTGGTGATGCGAGCCGCGCCAGCCTGGGCGGATGCGAAGAGGGCACTGCGAGGACTGGATGAGGGCTGGTTGGTATAGGCCAGGGCGGCATAGTAGTCGCTGAGAGCGGTCTTTTTGGCCCCCAGGGGATCGGCCAATGCCGTGACGGCCGTGTGGATGTCGGAGCCCTGCAGATACTCCAATTCAAAGGCGAGCAGGGCCGCCTGCACCGCGTGGATACCGGCCTGTTGGCGGGCCAGGTGGCCGAGGAACTGCACGGCCAAACTGATGGGCGACGAAGGGCCGTCATCGGGCAAGGCGGCCAGCCAACTGGCGCGGTAGGGCTGCAGCGTGGCGGCGATGGTAGCACTGACATGCAGCGTGGCGGTGATCTCCCCATGCTCGAGAGACACGGCCACGGGAGCCGCGTCCACAGCCGGTGCAGGGGAGGCGATGAGGTGTTCTTTCGTCGCAGTCATGATGTGTGACTGACTATGGCGACATTTGGTCGGGATGGACCACCGTGAGACAGCAACATACAAAAGTCGTCTGTCTCCCTAGATATAGAACAACCCCAGTCGATCCCTTCCCCCGAACAATCGCTGAGTCAGACAGACCAAATCCTGCCGAGTGAGGACCGTTCGGCCGCCAGAATGACTGGCAGCATTCGGTGTCGCGCGGAGATGCATCCGGCGGCCGAAACCCGACACACGCAGCCACGGTTGAAAGATCCGGGCCGCAGCACCACGATGGCGATCAGACCGCGGCTTACCGTTTAGCTTGCATAAAGGACGACAGACATACCTGCCCGCCACCCACTAAACCGGGAAAAACAAAAAAATAGATGATAATCCTCCCCCGGTGCGTCGTTATCTGCCAATCATCATGACCCTCATCCCTGCCGCCGACGACAACTCCAGTAAACCCTACGATGCCGTCATCCAGGCCATCGTCGACTACGTCTACGACTACGAAATCACCACCGAGAATGCCTGGGCTCGCGCCAAGGTCGCCCTGATGGATGCTCTGGGCGCCGCCCTCGAGAGCATCCACACCAGTCCGCAATGCGCCCAACTCGTCGGGCCCGCCTTCCCCCTGGCCCCGGGCACCTCAGGGCTCTTCCGACTCCCCGGAACATCCTACCAACTCGACATCCTGAAAGGTGCCTTTGACCTGGGCGCCATGATCCGCTACCTCGATCACAACGATGCCTTTCCCGGCGCGGAATGGGGTCATCCCTCGGACAATCTGGGTGCCATTCTCGCCGTCGCCGACGTGCGCAGTCGCGTGGCCCTGGCCGAAGGCGACCCCAGCAGCGTGGTGACCATGAAACAAGTGCTTGAGGCACTGATCAAGGCGTACGAGATCCAGGGGTGTTTCCAGATCAAGAACGCCTTCAACAAGGTCGGTCTGGACCACACCATCCTGGTCAAAATCGGCGCGACCGCCGTGTCGTCCAAGCTACTAGCCCTCACTCGCGCGCAGGCCCTCAGCGCGGTCTCCCACGCGTGGATGGATGGTCACCCGCTCCGGGTGTATCGCCAGGCACCGAACACTGGTCCACGCAAGGGCTGGGCGGCAGGTGATGCCTGTATGCGCGCGGTGCATCTGGCCCTGCTGGCCAAGGCGGGACAGCCGGGTGCGAGCACCGTGCTGACCACCCCGCGGTGGGGATTCTACGACGTCCTCTTCCAGGGCAAGGAGTTCGACCTCCCCCAGCCGTTCGGCACGTGGGTGATCGAGACGGTGTTGTTCAAGGTGAACACGGCCGAAGGACACGGGATGACGGCCGTCGAGGCGGCGCTGGAGATCGCCGACACGCTGCGGGCGAAGGGCCTTGACCCGGTGAAAGACATCCAGTCGATTCACGCGAAGACCCAAGCCGCGGGCATGACGATCATCAACAAAGCCGGGGCGCTACACAACGCCGCCGACCGGGACCACTGTCTCCGGTACATGGTGGCAGTGGTGCTCCTCAAGGGCGCGCAAGTCGAGACAGCCGATTATCAAGACGATAGTCCCTGGGCGACCGACCCGCGCGTGGATGCCCTCCGCCAGAAGATCACCATGGCGGAGGATGCCCAGTACACGGCGGATTACCACGACATGGCGGTGCGCAGCGTGGCCAATTCGTTGACGGTGACCCTGGCAGACGGCACGGTGTTGCCCGAGGTGCTGGTCGAGTATCCCCTGGGGCATGTCCGACGCCAGGAGACGCCGAAGGAGGTGTATGCCAAGGCGGAGCGGAATCTGGGCCTGCGGTTGTCGGAGGACCGCGTGCAGGAGATCCTGGCGACGGTGGCATCGGAGGAGTTTTGGACGCTGCCGGCGTGTCATTTTGTCAATAAATTTAGTTTGTAGTGGCCTTGCCAGGATCATCGGGGGAAGCTGGGAAAGGATGGGGGTCAAGATTTTGATGAGTCATAGGTTTATTGCGTTCGGTCTATCATAGCTATCTATCATCTATCTATCACGATACATACAAACATACAAGAAAGGGAAGTCCGGCAGTGTGCCAACCAGCTTCCTATGCGGAGCGCCGGGAAGAATACCTCCCATGGGAGAAAACAATCATGAGCGTAACTTCGTGAATGGGTCCCGAGGGATGCCCGGTCACTGCATCAACCCTAGGGCCGTGTCCGGGCCGGCAAACGAGTCCAGCAGGGAGTCAAACATGACGGGCCCCGGGTCCGCAAAGACCGTGCTCAGGGCAAAGGACGGCCCCAAGGCACCCGGATTGAGGAACAGCGAGGGGTCTGGATGGGCCGGCAGGCTGGTGGACATCCGGGGCGTCGCGGCAGCGGTTGGGTCCCATCCGGCATCGGCCGCGATGGCCTGGTTGAGATCCCAGAACGGATCCGTCAGGGCCGGGTCCACCTTGGTCTCGGGCCCTGGAGGGGCGTGCAGCCGGGTGACGATCTGGCAGCACCGGGCACTGACCTCGCGGACACGCGCCGTGTATGACGTGGCGGTGGTCTGGGCTGCGAGGGCATCCGCGCGGGCCGCAAAGGATGTGAGCAGCGCCACGTCCGACGGTTCCTCCCGGGGGTAATCCTGCAGCACTTGCATGTACACCTCGAGGAACAGGATGAGCGAGTAGTTCAGGGTGACACTGGAGCAGTCAGTCGCGTGCCATCCTCCCACGGAAGAAGCGTGCTTACCTGGCGAACATGGCGTATCCGGCACGACGCGCGCCGGCTTGATCACCATCACACAGTTCCTGGAGCAGCCGCAGGCCGGCCCGAGCATATTCGCGCCGTTTGGCACGACTGTCTGCTGAGCTGATGCGCCGCTGCGCCAGCACGCGGCAGATATACAACGCATACTGCAGCTCGGTGGCGGCCAGCACCTGAGAGGCTTCAGGCGTGCCAGTCGGGCAGAGAGCGTGCTCATATTGCACCGCCCAGTCCTCCACGCGCCGGGCCATCTGGCTGGCCCGGCGGCTGAGCTGGTCCCGGCCTCGTCGTGCGCCGCGGGCCGAGTGCAGACGACGATACATTTCCTCGAGGATGGCCGCGAGGGAAATCCGCGCCGTGAACTGGTCCTCGGTGAGGGAGCCGGATTTCGACCCGGGCAATGGAATGGCACAGCCATACGAGGGCAGCAGGCCGGGCTTGCCGGCGACCAGAGATGCATGTTTCTACGTCATGGTCAGTCCCGGTCTTTAGACGCGGCGGGGAAGACAAGACGTACATCAATGATGAACAACGACCAGAACAGGTGGCGCCGCTCGGTCTCTTGCGGAATGCCCGGGGCCATCTGGTGGAGTCCGATGGTCCGGGCCAGCTGGCACGCCTGCGCGAACACCGTCTCGAACATGGTGAAGCTAAAGTATTTGAGCGCCACAAGAGCCTACATCGATGGTCAGTGGAGGTGTTGCTTTCCCTCGAGGGCTGGATGGAGGATTGGGGTGCCTACCATGCTCAGCAGGCTTTGAACATTGGCCACCCGCGGTTGCAGCAGCCGCTCGAAATTGTTGTAGCAGCGACGCGCATTCAGCAGCAGATGTACCACCAGCCCCCGTTCCAGCGTGCTGTCGCCCGTTTGCCCCCCGGGCCGCCCGGCGCTAGATTTGGCCTCGAGGGTGTGCAGCAAGATGCTGTTGAACGAGCAGACCCAGGCTAGATCCGGGGCCTCGCTGCGGCCGCTATACTGCTGGTCGATGGCCTCCATCACGCTCTGACGGTCATAGATGGGGAGGAAAGGATTGAGCTCGACAAAGTATGCATCCACGAAACCTTCCAGCAGGGTCCGAGGGGGAAGGGCTGGCGGGAGGTCGTCATACTTGGGTTCTGATATCGGAGGCGGGCCCGTGGCCAGCTCTTGAAAGAGTTCCCCGGCATCGGTCAGATGAGCCCGAAGAGAATCATCAAACGAACCTGGAGCCTCATGTCCGCGTGGACTCGACGCTTCCATACCATCCTCCATCGCGAGGGATGCCATCAGTTGGTCACCCACTGCCTGCGCCTCGAAGTAGAGCGACGCCAAGGGACTGCCACAGTCGGACATCTCGATCCCCGAATCCCGTTCGGCTTGGGACAAGGGATCCGAGCAGCCATCGGACCAGCTATCATCCGAGTCGACCGACCCTCGGCGAGAGTCCTCTGGGTCCTCTCGTCCAGCGGACTCGGCCCGTGATGGGGGTTGTGAGGGTGTGCCATATCGGGGGGTGTTGGCGGCCTCGACCACGGACAGACAGCGAAAGAGGGCCTCTTCGATCTTGCCCAGCCGACTGCCAAGGAGCTCCACGTCGTTGACTCTGCCAGCCCCAGAACGGAGGACCCGTTAGAGCACGGACCCAAGAGGGGGAGGGGCGGAGGGGCCGGGGAACATACAGCTTCTTGGTATGGTTGACTCGCTTGCCCTTGTTGGAGAATTCGCAGGGCAGGTTGGAGGCTCGACAACTCGAGCACTTGGGATACTCCTTATTGCAGCGCACCTTGCGGATGCGGCATTCGTCACAGGCGGGACACAACGATCCGGTGCCACGCACCCTACTCTTCTGAACCGACACGCTCGCGGTGCGGGGAGTGGCCATGATGCTCTGCTGCTTGCCAGTTCGCCAGACAACGCTCAGACAATGGATCAATTACGCACGGAACCAAACCAAGAAAACACGAGAACTAAGGCAGCCAAGTACCTGGCATCGGGGGCCGCCGAGCAGGCCATGCCGGCGAAGTTATATGGCGCTGGCGGTGCTCCTGGAAGGAATCCGACGACCACTAGGTCCGCACACCGTTATCGGGTCCCTACCTACTGTCGCACCAGGCTCATCAAGCTTCATCACTCTCCTGGATGGCGTCTTGGGACCTTCGATCCTGGTGGGCGGAGGATTTTAGCGCTGACTCAGATTGAGGGCGTATATTCTTTCTTGATTTCTCATCGTGTTCGCGGGGATTATCCTGTCTTTACAATCCTGCGCTTGGCACCGCCGATAGCTCCCTGGTGTATCATCGACCCCGGGGCGCCAGTGCCAATGACAGCGCCGGCGCGATAGAGCATAACAGGCCATGATATAGGCCGACCCACTCGCAGAAAGCACGTCCGTGTGCTCCGACCTGTCATTTCCGCTCAATACGTCGTCGTGGCCAGCGGCAGCATCCCTGGCGCCATGATGGACAGGCCTGCTTACCCGCAGTGGCCCGGCTGCAGCAGCACTGCAGCACTGCAGTCTGCAGCAGAGGCTGGATCCTGCCGAGTGGCGACGCCGGACGAGGCAAGTCAAACGAGCCGTGACGATATCACGCCCGGATGTCGGGGTTAACCGGATGCAGTAATTCCTCAGTCTGGCATTCTCACCCGATCCATTCCTGCAGAAGGACCTTCCGGGGCATCCTTCTTCACCAGGGAAGCTCCAGGGTGCCTGTTCGCATGTCCTTCCCTTCCTTGGTCTCGCTGGGAATAGCATCCTTTGGACTTTCTCTGGAGGACCACAGCGTCTTACTTAGACGGGGGACCGGCTCCAATTCTCGCTGAATGGGTTCGCAGAAGCCCTCCTCAGGGCCTTTTGGCCATGCTCCGCAGGATTCATTTTCCGGTTCCGGACGATGTTTCTGAGCGTGACGGCAGCCATTAAGCCGTGCAGAGATGGATAAGATTCTGCAGTCGGGGACGGCCAGGGAGAGGCGACCAGTCAAGCCATCGGAGCAAAAGTGACCCAGAGATAGAGGCGAGCCGACGTCTGGACTCAGGTCGAGGATCTACGGCTTGGCAGTGAGGAGGGAGCAGAGGGGCGTGGCGCCACGAGGCAGATCGATCGACTGACAATGGCCAGACCAGGGGGAACCCTCATTATCTGATGGAGGGGTTTGAAACGGTTCCTCAACGGACGGTGCCCGAGTCGTGCTCGCCTGCAGACGCCATGCCGGCTGAGGGGCTACCAGTTTCCGTTTACGTGGCCAACTGGGGATCTGGGCTCCTGCAGGATCGGCGCGTCGCGTTCGGGGGTGCCGTCCACTCCCGTGCAGAGCTTATTCTATTTTTCGCTGGTGCTTATTCCCCCGTTAGTCAGATACTCGGGGCCCGTCTCGGTTGGGGGGTCAGCTTAATTCCGCGACGCACTGGTGACGGGTGGGTGGCTGACTGCATGCTCCCATATGCCCGAGCGTTGGCTGACTGATCCATCTGCTTCTGCTGGAGGATTGGGAGATCGACACCGGCCGGCTTCGCCCCGGTGGATCTCGTTTTGTGGTTTTGGAATGCCGCTACGCCCAGCTGGGAGGTTGGCAAACCGTGATGCCGAAATCGTGGTTAGGGCCCGGCTAGTCACCTCGTATCCCAAATTCCCACCACGCGCTATCCGCTTTCCACACTCGCCTCGAGGAGGACTTATCGACGGAGTAAGGCCGTACGACCTGCCTCAGCCAGTCGATGAGCGTCTCGAACCTTCCGTCACCCTGGCTGGCCCATGGGGTGGGCTCTCTCTCGAGGGTTGGAATGGTCGCAGGGACGGGGCCAGCGACTAGTGTGACGGGTGGGTCACTGTCAACCCTAATGGCCACGGGGTGATTGGGGCCTTGGGGGAGCTACATACTCCGTACTGGGTCTTGCAGAAGAGTGAAGAGTGAAGACCCCCGATAAGAGCTTCCAACGAAGACTCAGACCCGAGTGGGGGGGCCTCGCTGAATAACCCCATCGCCTCCCGCTCGCTAGCAGCAAGCGGCACCGGCGGTTGACCTGACATGCAGAGGGCACTTTCCGGCACCTCCGCCGTTGGAGATCCCTTGTTTGGATACCGACATGTGCTGCAGAGCCTACCGGAGCCTCTACTATCTGATGGCACCCCGTTGGAGAGTTGGAGACACTCCCCTCACCCCTCACGGGTTGGACAGTGACCGATGGCCGGACGGCCCACTGCGACCGGGGCCGATCCATCCATTGGATCCATGCCGATCATTATCGATGGGCCATACTGAAACCCAAGAAACTTAAATAAACTAGACACTGGGAACCCCGTCGATCGGACTCCAGGCTGTCACTCCAGGTGAAACATGGCCATGCGACTTAATCTCGACTCCGATCCTCACGCACGCGACGGCCAATCTCGTTGACCGCCAGATGGCGACAGAATGCCCAGGCACCCCAAGAAACTGAAGAAACTCAAATAGAGTAGATGGTGATCCAAAACTGCAAGAGCCCCGAGACCCTTTTTTCCTGAATGGAGACCGCGGTGGCCAGCCAGGCAATGCATGCACGGTCGGGCGGCCAATGGTGACGGCCAGCACCACTTAGGGCTCCCTTCATCCGGAACAGAGATGGTGCCAGGTTTGATTGCTAATCATTGGTTATCATACATACCAGAGGACAAATTTCGGATGCGAGATACTCTACATGGCATGTGATAGAATACCGGCGATTAGGGCTATCGCCGGGGGTCAGAATCCTACTCCCGTGGGGCTGCGCTCGCAAGAGCCTCCAGGTGTCGAGATAGTACTCTAGACTCTCATCATCCCTGTCCCAGGCAGCCATCATTCGCTAACAAAAATTTGTAATTTTCCCATCATAATCAACAAGCACAACGCCCATGCAGCTACCAGACACATGTAACAAGCATGCGTCCTTAATGACTTTTTCTCTCTCGCCTCGTTGCAGATGATCATCCTAAATGCATGGTACCTTTGTACTGCATCTGGTCATCCTAATCCCTGCAGCAGCCCTATCGTGTGTCACCATCTTCCACGCCATTGTCTGCAACAGCGTGGTCTGTAATTGTCATTACTATCTTGGTGTTCTTAAACATTAATATGTCACATGCGATAACTGTGATGGCGTGTAGTATATCATTCACTGTAATGATGGCTCCATGATCTTCCCTAGCGTTATGGCAGTCGCAATCACTGACTAAAACAAATTAGTCGTAGCCCCGGGATGCATGCACTCACCAACATGGCCAGGAATATCAGGAACATAAAAATAGCCTGAGACATACGCATACTCATCCAATTATTGAAACAATATCCCGTCTATTTGCGCATGCTATATTTTCGATTCCCTGATCCTGGTATAGTGTCTGGCGGTCATAGTCCAGCCCCAGAATAGATTGTCACCACAGATGCAAAGAACCGTCATTCTAGTTGGAAGATATTATGACCATGCTGACATCTTAATCATACACATGTCCAAGTGATATTTGCGATGGTGTAGACAGTAAAATGTTACTCATAGCGTTTCCAAGATATCCCTCCACGATCGTAATCGATAATCATGGTGTGCAGTACCACTACCACTTGTATCCAACCCACTGTCCACAACAGCAATACGATTTCCATCTATCAACAAAATCGCCTATTCTAAACGTAGCAACCATACGGTAGACCACCTAATCACTGCAGAATTCTGCACCGCATCCACTAACTAGTCCCCTGCACCATGCAACTCGCAATATCACCACCATTCAATTTGCTACCTAGAACCCTATCTACCAGACGCCATCCCCTATGCCCTCCATCCTATCGAAAGAAAAGCGTATCCATACTAGTATCATCTCATAGCTTCATTACCGAAGTGGAATTCTCCACGACACCCACACGAGACGGCATATGCTCGCGTGATGTACTCCATCCTACCAGCTGACACGGGTGCCTAACGGACCCCCCAGTCCCATCCGACTTCGTCTACACCGTCACATCCAGCCTAGCGTGCCCCATCTACTCCATCTCGCGGTTCAAATGTCCGGTGTAGATCTGTCCGGGCCGCCAGATACGTGCCGTGCCGGCTATTCGTCGTTAGTTTCATCCAGTCTCAGACGAATGGACGGGGCCGCAAATCAGCGTCCAGGGGAAAAAGGGACACGTACACATTGCTTCCTTCCAGTGGGCCATGAAGCCCTGGGTGCGGGAGAGGAGAGACAGCGGGAGGATGAATTCAGTGGGGAAGCCCCTAGACCGCCAGTTAGTTTATTCTGTCTTTCGGCAGAGGAATCGCTCGGAGGCAGGGAATCCGCTTACATAGCACTGTAGGTCAAAGCGGCGAAGAGATCCGCGTTGGGGCGTAATCTGCGCGAGACGAAGTATTCGTCCTCAGAGGCGACGCGGTCGACTTCAAATGCCACTTTCAGGATCGGGTTCCGGGCAATCTCATCCTTCAGCTCGTCGAGGATCTGACTGATGAAAGTGAACCGGGGATCCGTGACGCGGTAGATCCGGTGTCCGTAACCGTAGAGACGTTCCTTGCCGGCTTTGACGCGTTCGATCTTGGCGGCGACGTTCTCGACGGTGCCGATTTCTTCAAAGTTCTTGTAGGCGACTTCGATGGCGCCGCCGTGGAGGGGGCCATAGAGGGCCGACAGAGCGGAGATCATGCAGGAGAAGACATCCGGGAGGGAGGAGGCGGTTTGGAGGAAGGCGGCGGTGGAGCAGGTCATTTCGTGGTCGGCGATGAGGACCCAGAGACGTTCGATGCGGTCCACGTATTGGGGGTTGGGGAGGCCGGTGGTCGACTCGACGTGGCCCATCATGAGGAGGAAGTTTTCGATGTAGGAGAGTTCGGGGCGGGGTGGGGTGAAGTCGCGACCCGTGTGATGGCAGTACACGGCCGCCGTGATTTGGGAGAGGGTGCCCATCAGGCGGATGATCTCGTCGTCGACGGCCTTGGGGAGGCCCAGGTAGAGGTTTTTGGCGGCGTGGGCGGGGATGCGGTCCATTTGGGAACTCTGGACGGCTGAGAGGGCGGCAATCATCATGCCGATGATGGAGGCGTTCGGGCTGGGGAGGTGTTACTCGGCAGGGAATGGTATAAGAGGGAGGGGGGATGCCACTTACGGAAAGGCCTGGATGACCTTGAAGACGGATTCATTGATCACCGGCACACTGGAGAGCTTCTCGTGCAGGGTGCTGGCCTGCTCTGGGGTGGGCCATTCACCCCAGATGAGGAGATGTGCGGTGTCGATGAACTTCTTCTTGCCCACGATATCCTCGATCCGGTAACCCCGGTACTGGATGGTGCCCTTGAGGCCATCGCTGCAGAGGAAGGTTGGTTATGGGATGTGCAGAATGGGCAGTGGAGGGACATACATGTAAGTGACCTTGCTCTCACTGACGGCCGTGTTGGAGTAGCCCGGGTCGAACACCCGGATCCCCTGCTCATTCTGATCTTCCGGGTGCTCCGGGTCTTCAGGAGCCTTGAGCTTCTTGAACTCGCTGGCGTTGATGGCGTTGCGCACGATGGGGATGGGGTGGTACTTTCCCGTGCGGCTGTCCACCACATGGAGCACCGGGGTCTCCGGTTTCTCCTCTGCATGAGCAGCGCCGTTGCGGGCACCGTTGGAGGCGATATCAGGCATGGTGCAGGCAGCCTAACGATGTAACGGTGGATATGATGTGGAGGGATGAGGGGTGAGGGTGAGGGGGAGGGGAGGGAGAGGGGCGATGGCTGTCCTGGTCTAGAGCACAACATCACCGCGGATGGAGAACTCGTATATAAATGACTCGGGCTGACAGATGAGACAGACCAATCTGACCCGGGATCGCCCTGAACAGACCACTGGCTGGCGTTGGGGCCGCGAATCCTTCCGTCCTGCGGTGGCTGTCGGGCATCGGCCGCCGGGCGAGGCCAGTGGCTTCAGCCCTGATGCCCCGAATGCCCCGGGGCCCGTCGGACGCGTCTGGACACGGAATCTGTCGGTCAGTGATGAGAGATAGCCAAGCCGGATTAATGCTGTCCGTGAGAAGGGGAACAGGATGTATATCAGGACGGGACTCGATGGTAAAAGGCCTTGGTATCTCCGTGATGGCCCTCGTCGTCTCCTGATTCCGCTCACACCACAACACATTCAACATGGGCGAACTAATTCGATCGCTACCTGAGTCGGAGCAGGAGCGGCGCTCCTTGGCCCGGACGCTCCTCATCGAGCTATTAGCGTGAGTGCCGGTGACACTTAATGTTCCTGCTCTGAGCTAACCTGGTGTGCTAGTTATCAATTTGCCTTTCCGGTGCAATGGTGAATACCTGTTTCGACCTCGTTAATCATACATGTCACTGACTGCAGTAGGATCGACACACAGAAGGAGTTCTTCACCAGGAATGAGGCCGTGGAGCGATACGTGGAGGTTGGACCGGCCAAGGTCCTGTCCACCATGGGCAAGAAGACCGTCGGCCGCAATCACCAGCTGCAGGACAAGCTGCGTCTGATTCGCCGCCAGTTTCTGTCTCACAGCGATGATTACGCCCAAATTTGCTATGAATACGAAGAGTCTCAACCCGTGGCCCCTGCTGAGACTCCCGAGGCGGCCCCAGCGCCGGTGGCCCAGGCATCTGCCCCGGCCGCTCCTGTGGCAGCTGTCCCCGTCCCTGCTGCCCCCGCTGCTGTGGCGGCAGCCGTCGATGATGTGCCGCTGTCAGCTCAGGACATTGTGCTGGCGATCAGTGCCCAGAAGCTGAAGCAGCCGTTTGACCAGGTACCCCTGCAGAAATGCATCCGGGACCTATCCGGAGGTAGGTCTTGACCGACCCGGTGACATGCTTCAAGGGCTCACACCATCCAGGTAAATCCACCCTACAGAACGAATTAATCGGAGACCTCGTGGCCGAGTTTGGCAGCACACCCGATGGCTGCGAGGATCTTCCTCTAGAGGCCGTCGGGGCGGCCCTCGACTCCAACTTCACCGGTCGTCCGGGCAAGGTCATGTCTGCCCTAATTGCCCGGTTGACCTCAGCTAGATTCCCTGCGGGCTGGAATCAAAACAGCGTCCGTAGCCACCTGGAATCCACCTGGGGTCTTGGCTCCCAGCGCCAGACGGCCGTACTCTGCTACGCCGTCAGCTTGGACCCGTCCACCCGGCTGGAGACCCCCCAGGCAGCCAAGGAATTCGTCGACAGCGTCGTGGCTCGGTATGGCCGCCACTGCGGCATCACCATCAGCCCGGCGGCCGGTCCAGCCGGTGGCGGCCAGGCCGCGGGCGGTGCCATGATCGACTCCAAGGAGTTGGAGCGTCTGCGCACGGAGCAGAACGATGCCTTCAAGCAGCTTCACCTGGCGCTTGGCAAGCTGGTGGATGAGGACGGCGGCGAGCTGGTACAGAGGCTGGCGCACAGCGAGGAGCTCTGGCAGGAGGCGGATCAGAAGCTCGAAGCGTGGCAGGCCGAGTTCGGAGACGGGTTCTTGACGAAAGTCTCGCCCATCTTCAACGCCCGGAAAGGTCGGGTCTACGATGCCTGGTGGAACTGGGCTCGCGTGGATATTGCCTCGCTGCTGCTGGCGCCTGGCGGAGCCCCGGTCGAGGAGCACATCTGGCGCGTACTGAACCGATCGAATGCCAGCGCTTTCGACCTCGTCAAATACAACATTGCAGACCCCCTGCGCAACTCGGACAAGCAGCTGCCGGTTCGTCCTCTGGAGCAGCTCTTCCATGGCTACCGCGACGCCTTGCAGGGTCACCCCGTTTTCATCCACCGCGTGCCACCGTTGGGGCCCCGGACCACCGTGAGCCCTAAGGGCGTGATCGAATACGAGGAGATCGCGCGCACCATTGGTGGCCGGGAGGATACCTACTACGACCTCCTCAAGCGAGGCAGTCGGTTTGATGCACCTGTCGCGAACAGCCTGCCCTTTGTCCGGCTCAGCCGTCCAGCCGGCAATGGCTGGAAATACCACGACGCGCTCACCACGTCCTACCTGGACATCGTCAAGGCCGCCACCTCCAACGGGGTCACCTTTGCCGGGAAGACGGTCCTCATCACCGGTGCTGGACCTCAGTCCATTGGCGCCGAGGTCACTCGAGGCCTTCTGACGGCTGGCGCCACGGTGATCGTCACCACTAGCCGGTCCAACATGGACTTTTACCGGTCTTTGTACCGGGAGTACTGCGGACGCGGTTCCTCTCTGACGGTCTTCCCCTTCAACGCGGCCAGTCGCCAGGACTGCCAGGCCCTCATCACCCATCTGTACACCGAGACCCTCGGGACCGGCGACCTCGACTGCGTGATCCCCTTCGCCGCCATCTCCGAGAATGGCCGGCAGATCGATGGCCTAGATGGCCTCTCCGAGGTGGCTCACCGCGCTATGCTAGTCAACCTGCTGCGGCTGCTGGGCTTCATCAAGCAGCAAAAGGAGTCCCGCGGCTACAATGCCAACCCGACCCAGGTCATCCTGCCCCTATCGCCCAACCACGGCACCTTTGGCGGAGATGGCCTGTACTCCGAGTCCAAGATCGGCCTGGAGACGCTGTTCAACCGGTTCCAGTCAGAGAGCTGGGGCGACTACCTGACCGTCTGCGGGGCCGTGATCGGCTGGACGCGCGGCACGGGGCTGATGAGCGCCAACAACATCGTCGCCGAGGCCATCGAGGCCGAGGATGTCATCACCTTTTCGTCGGCGGAAATGGCCCTCAACATCCTGGCATTGATGACCCCCGAGATCGCCGAGGCCTGCGAGGATGCCCCCGTGTATGCCGACCTGGGCGGCAAGATGGAGCAGCTGGCCGACTTGAAGGGCTTGTCCACCTCGGCCCGCAGATCGGTGCAGCACCAGGCTCGTGCCCGCAAGGCCATTGCGGCCGAAGACGAGCTGCACCACAGCCTGCTGCACGGCCCGGCACCGACGACCCCTGCCCCAACCGTGCGCAAACCCCGCGCCAACCTGACCGTCGGACATCCGGAACTGCCCGACTACGAGGCCATCACGGCCGGCATTCAGCTGCCCGGCCGGGACCTGATCGACCTGAGCAAGACCATCGTGGTGGCGGGATACTCCGAGCTGGGTCCCTGGGGCAGTGCCCGCACCCGGTGGGACATGGAGCGTGCTGGGGATCTCACCCCGGCCGGATACATCGAGATGGCCTGGATCATGGGCCTGGTCAAGCACTTCGAGGGCGACATTCAAGGTGCTGCATACGTGGGCTGGGTCGACGCCAAGTCCAATCAGCCGGTGCACGAGGCCGACTTCGCCGAGAAGTACGGCGCCTATATCCACGAACATGCGGGTCTGCGCTTCATCGAGCCGGAGCTGTATGATGGATATGATCCCGCCAAGAAGGAGTTCCTGCAGGAGGTGGTGGTGCAGGAGGATCTGCCCGTCTTCCAGGCGACGCGTGCCGTGGCCACGGCCTTCAAGACCAAGCACGGCGACAAGGTGTCTATCTCGCCGGCTTCCGATGATGGCGAGGAGTACAACGTGCAGTTCAAGCCTGGGGCGCGTTTCATGGTGCCCAAGGCTCAGCCCTTCGACCGGTTGGTGTCGGGTCAATTGCCTACCGGATGGGATGCCAAGGCGTATGGTATCCCCGCGGACATTGCCTCTCAGGTGGATCCCATCACCCTGTACGTTCTCTGCTGTGTCTGCCAGGCCATGCTGAGTGCCGGCATTCAAGACCCGTACGAGCTGTACCGCCATATCCACGTCTCGGAGCTGGCCAACTGCATCGGGACGGGTGCTGGCGGCCTGATCGCCATGCGGGGAGTCTACCGGGACCGATACCTTGATCGTGATGTGCAGAGCGATGTGCTACAGGAATCCTTCCCCAACGCCATGGATGCCTGGGCCAACATGCTGCTGATGGGCGCGGCAGGCCCGATCAAGTCGCCCTCGGGAACATGCGCCACGGCCATTGAATCCCTGGACACGGCCTGTGAGGGCATCCAGTCCGGCAAGGTCAAGGTGGCCCTGGTGGGCGGTACCGATGATCTGCAGGAGGAGATGTCGTTCGAGTTTGCCAATATGAAGGCCACGGCCAACACGGTCGAGGAGCTCGAGCGCGGCCGCACCCCTCGTGAGATCTCGCGTCCGACAGCCAGCTCCCGGGCGGGTTTCGTCGAGTCCGCTGGATGTGGTGTTCAGCTGCTCATGACGGCGCAGCTGGCACTCGAGATGGGCGTGCCGATCTACGGTATCGTGGCATACTCGCAGATGGCGGGTGACAAGATCGGCCGGTCGGTGCCGGCACCAGGCAAGGGCATCTTGACGGCTGCCCGCGAGGCCACCACGGCGTCGCTGTCGCCTCTGCTGGACGTGCAGTTCCGTCAGAAGCAGTTCGAGCAGATGCGGGCCCAGATCCAGCAGGGAGCGGCCCTGCAGCTGGAGAAGGCCCGGCAGGAGGGCCAGCTCTCGCCGCACTTGACCCAGGTCATTGAGAAAGCGGCGGCATCGCAGATCCGTCAGGCGCAGAACCTGTACGGGCTGGATCTGCGCCAGCAGGACCCGGGCATCTCGCCCATCCGGGCTGCCCTGGCCGTGTGGGGTCTCAGCATCGATGATATCGGCGTGGCGTCGTTCCACGGCACGTCGACCAAGGCCAACGACAAGAACGAGTCGGAGGTGATTCACACGATGATGAGTCACCTCGGTCGCACCAAGGGGAATCCGGTGCTGGTGGTGTGTCAGAAGTATCTGACGGGTCATCCCAAGGGCGCGGCTGGAGCCTGGATGCTCAACGGAGGGCTGCAGATCCTGCAGTCGGGGGTGGTGCCGGGCAACCGCAACGCGGACAATGTCGACCAGGTGCTGCAGAAGTTCGACCACCTGGTTTACCCGGCCGAGGCTATTCAGACTCGGGGTGTGCGTGCCTTCATGCTCACGTCGTTCGGTTTCGGACAGAAGGGTGGCCTGGTGGTGGCTGTATCTCCTCGCTATCTCTTTGCCGCGGTGGACCAGGCCCCCTACGAGGCATACCGCGTCAAGGCCCTTCGACGTGCTGAGGCCGCGAACCGCGCCTTCATTGAAGGTCTCAACCACAACTCCCTGTTCAAGGCCAAGTCGACGTCGGCATGGGCTGCGGAGGACGAGATGCGGGTGTTCCTCGACCCGTATGCCCGGGTGGCCATGGACGACGGCAGCTACTTCTTCGACGCGAAATGCCTGCATCCCGACTCAGAGGACTCCGCGTCAGAGATCAGCTCGGGGGTGTTGACAGCCGTTGAAACGCCGTCCACACCTACCAGCGAGCCATTGCTAAATGCGTGCCAGAAGTGGGTGGAGGGTGCCGTCACCGCGGATGGATCGACGTCCGTGGGAGTGGACATTGAGTCGGTGACGGCGATCAACATCGAGAATGAGATCTTCCTGGAGCGCAACTACACGGCCGGCGAGCGCGAGTACTGCCAGGCGGCGCCTGACCCGGCGCATTCGTTTGCTGGTCGATGGGCCGCGAAGGAGGCCGTGTTCAAGAGTCTGCAGGTGCCCTCCAAGGGGGCTGGGGCCCCGCTGAATGAGATTGAAATCCTCAGCTCGGGGGGGATTCCGACGGTCTATGTAAGTCGTTGCTTCCTGAGGTGATTGGAAATGAGCTAACAGGATACAGCTGCACGGCGAGGTGAAGAAGCTGGCGGAGGAGAAGCAGCTGAGCAAGATCCAGGTCAGCATCAGTCACTCGGGCGAGCTGGCCATGGCGGTGGCTGCTACCACTTTTGGGGCAGTCATCAGTGAATGAAGCAGTGGTCGACTGGCAGGGAATTGGGGTTAGATTGTACAGCACGAGCTGGATTCTTGGATTTTGATGATTGTTTTCCTTAATGTATCATGATTACAAGCGTTATGAATAGATCAATGTCAATTCTTCCTGATATAACTGAAGATGGGGTTTACTCATTAGGGCTCAAAAAAATAGTACTGAGTCCATGCAGCCACTCGACTCGTCCCTACCCCGCGTGCCCGCCAGCCAATCCCGATCTGCACCCTGCCATCGAGCACGTTCGTATCTCCATGTAGATGAGTTCGATGACAGATCCCTGACCAAAGACTTTGTTCCACACCCAGTATCTAGTGGTGCGGGTATGCCCAATGGCCGCTATGGTCCGCCGGGGGGTTACTACGACTACTACTAGACACCGCCTCCCCGGCAGCCCTTTCGCTGTCCCGATCAATCCTCCTCACCGCCCCCGGGACCGCCTTGGGGCCGCCTTCGTGGGGATGTTTCCCCTTCCACTCCTTCTCTCCTCTTCCATCGTCCCCCAGAAACTCGTCTCCTCCCGTGAGTTGCAGCCAGCGACTATCAAATTCATCTTCTTTTCCTTCGTGCCTACCTCCTCCGTCCGGTACAGCTCTCGCTGCGATAGCCTCTGATCGGGCTCGCCCCCCAGAATGGGATGTAGAGGTCTCTGGAACTTGCGTGTCAATGGTTGGTGATGCCTGTGGGCGGAAAGTTATCGTACATCCAGGGCTAAACACTCCTTTCCTAGGCCACTGGTATCGCTCCTGCCAGTCAGGAGGACGCATTAACCCGCCAGATTACCCCAATACTTTGAAGACCGTGAAGCAGCTACGTGACACGCCGGACAAGCTCGATGGGTGGGAGAAATCCCCGGTCCCCGGTCCGCTTCACTCCAATTTCGACTGGGTATACACGGTGGATCTCGATGTGGGGACTTTGGCCGTTACGTTCTGGGACGTGGTGGAAGACAAACTGCTACCAGCGACGGTCTGTTTCGATCTGGCCACTGTATGTCAGGCCTCAAGCTTGTCCATCGACGATCTAGATGCGCACCCTCGGTACTTCCCCTCTGACCACGTCAACGGTTCCAGTAAACCAAATCATGTCTGTATACCTCTGGGGCAGTTGGAATTACGCCTTGGCCTGCCGACTCCGTTGAACGAACTCCAGGCCCGATTCTTCATCGATTTTATCTTCCCATGGCGCTATTACATTGATGACCCTCAGACCTGGCACTACCAGTCGCCTGTCTTTCCGCTGATAACTATAGCCCTGCTACGACTGGCTGCCTGGGATCTCGAAGTGTCCCCTGATTGGGATGTTGACCTTCCGATAGCCTTCGATTCCATTCCCACCTGGAGTTACCCGGAGGACACAATCTACTGGTTCCACCGATTCCTCGTCGTCCTCCATCCCAATATCGAGTCCCAGGCCATGCTCGGCTCAGCGGTAGGGAAAGCTCAGCAATATATCGAAAATTCAACATCTCGGGACTCGGATGTCCGCTTGATTATCATTTCACCCCACCACATCGCCTTTGCAGAGCTCTCGAACAATACCGTCTTATCTACCAGTAATCTCGCGTTGCTCTCTGATTTGTCCGCAACTCATTGCTCTCCTGGCTTCCGCGTCCTCTCCCGGATCCTGACATCGGACTGCTGGGGGAAATCGAATATTCACCAAGAGACATGGCAGTATCGGGTGCCTCCTGAAATGCTTCAACTCATAATGCAGAAGCTGGAGCCGCGCGATGCTGTAGCCCTCGCGCAAGCCTCTTTCGTAGCCGAGATGTGCTACTATTCCTTCATATCTCAATTCCCGGGCATGACTGTGCGAAGCTTTCCATTGCTTATCCCCTGCTGTGGTAAACGCAGTGGACTCGAAGAACGCGGCATCATGTGCACCAAATGCTACGCCTGGCAACACGCTGATTGCATCAACCAAGAAAGTCCGCCTCCCGGTGCCCCACTCATCTGTTCCAGCTGCCGTAGCGGCGAGTCGTCGCCCGGCCTGAACCCGGGGGGGATACAAAGGATCAGTCGTCGGAAATGGAGACAAGGTTGCCAGGTTGAAATCAATGGTTTCCCTAAGCTGCTTCAACCACGGCTTCTCAAACCTGCGCACTTACGACCTGCCCTGCGCTTCCGCGGCAATATACCCCCGGTTCCCCCGGAGCTGATCGATTACACGATCCGATTTAATGGCACATTTTCCGGACTAGCTTATGGCGTGGATGATGAAGCCTGAAAGTCTTGCCATTTGTCCGACCAGGAACTATATAACATAATGCGGAACTGACATCAAGGGAACGCAGATGCAAAATCAATGATTCCTCCTTATCCAATAAATCTATGTTTCCCAATACATTGCGGTTGTATGAGCCCGACTGTACCTGCGCAAGACCCCTTTCATCGCGCAGGTGGCACCTCGTTCTGCGCCATATGTCTCAACATCCAATCGATCACAGCACAGTCCCTGCGGGCGTGGAATGCGTTTTGGTCCTGGGGTCGATTGGGGGGTGCCCAAGGGACAAGGCGGTGGTTCTCCGGCAGGTTCTTATGGAATTGATAGAAATAGAATGTGTGCGCATGGACTAACAGTCCCCAACATCTTCCAAACTCCGTGTTCGCGTGTTCCAGAGCGTTTTCAAGCTGATCTAGAGAAGCAGGGACGGCGTCGCGCTTTTTTTTTGGCTTCACTCACTGTGTGGTCGATTACGCTGCGATCTCCCGGAAAGCGACGCTGGATTCGGAGGATGATGAAGTCTGCAAAGTTGCCTTCTCGGTTTTGTTCAGGCACGACGGCGTAGCCGTTTGACGCCGGAAAATAGTAATTGAGGATTCCAGATGCCATCGCTTTGACGGAGTCCTCGTACTTGGAGTCCTCCTCAACAAATCTGACAAGCTCGTCGAGAATGGGCAAGGAGAGATAAACTGCCATGGCTGTGGTACAGATAGATGATGGTTTCAGGGTGGGAACACAATGAATTGGATGAGTGTGAAACTGTGGAAGATTGAAGAGTGTCGATGAATGAGGACGAAATTGCCCCAGCATCGGTCGAGGTTTTATAGGGCTCTTAGGAGGGGCCAAACCGCTTGAGACCCGGTGGGCGGGGGAGCAGGTTATCGAGGCGAAGGTTGATGAGATGATAGCAGCCTTGCGCAGCCTTGCCTTCCAAGTGGCTGAGAACCCGGAGCAGTTTCAAGCTCATATTGTCCCCTCCAATGAATGCGGCAGGAACGAAGGTTTACAAAAATAGACTCATTGTTAACCAGTCAAAATCCCCTTGGAAACGCCAGCTCCTGCGCCGCTTAGCGCTTGACGCAGCCTTGTCTGCATCTCGATGAGGTGTTCGCTCTAGTGTTTCTGGTTGAGGACGTTTTGACTATTTTTGTAGGTTGTCTGTTGAGCGCGCGGCATTGATCGCCAATCATTTCTGGCGGAAGAGAGGGGGTACGGCCAGTCACCAGTGGGGATCTCGTTCCTCACTTCTGATCATAGCAAATCGCTCAGTCGCCGGCGGCTATTCTGTTAGAAACCCCGCACTAATGATACGCCCAAGGCACGCGGCAAGGGCAGTTTTTTCTTGGCTCGATAATGATAGGAAGAAATTAAACGAAAGAAAAGGAGAATTAAACAGGCAGAAACCTTCAAGGCTGTCACCTAGCATCATGGCGGTTTTCGAATAGAAGAACCTGAACTAGCCCTCACCAGCACTTGCATAGGTCTAGAGTACCGGGAGTGGTACGCAGTAGTTATATGAGTAATGGGGTGGATTTAAGGTCCGGTGGTTGCAAACAACTCTGTCTATTATATATATCACAAGCACCATTACATCCACAATCCTGCAGTCCTCGCTATATACAATCCGGGTCCAGCCTCGGCTGGGTTCAGAGCAATTCTTCTCAACGCCAAACGCCATCCAACACTACCGAAAGTTTGTATCTGTCTATATGTACGTGGTAAAAACCAAGGAGTGAAGAAATAAGAACAGCAAACCACATCACAACCCATTATGCATCATTTTCCCTCCCCGGTCGGAGAGACCACCGGGATTCAACTAGCTCACTGCAATGGCACTGGAAGCCATTACAGGTTCAGTTCGGACGACTTCCGGACCTGTCCCCCATACTTGTAGAACAATACCGGCACCGGAATCATCGCGAGCGTGACGAAGCCCAGTAAGGAATTTCCCCACCCGTAGCCCAACGCCGCGTACATCCGCGGCCCCGCCAGGGGCAGAAAGGCACCCATCAGCGACCGAGTGATCACCATGGCGGCCGTACCTGAGGCCGCATACCGGGGATAGCAGTCGATCACGTAGGTCTGCAGCGTGTTGTAAATGCCGACCATGCCGAACGCAAAGGGGGCCAGCCCGATGATGGGCACAATCCAGAAATCTTTCGCTTTGGCCGACCATCCGTACCAGAAGAACGAGACCGGGATAAAAAAGGCAAAGAAGATGGTAATGGAGAGCCGCATCTCCGGCTCGAACACGTTGTTGTTGCGCACCTTCAGCCGGGTGATGATGCGATCGCTGACCAAGGCAAAGAAGATCTGCCCGCTGATGAAGCCCACCCCGAGCCCGAGATACGCGAGACCACTGATCTCGGTGTCCCAGCCGTACGTCTTTTTGAAGACATCGGTGATGGTGGTGAAGAGCAGGTAGAGACAGCCGTAGAGAGTGGCGAGGTAGGTGGCCACGGGAAAGACAATCGGCGAACGGACCAAGAGGTAAAAGGGCATGATCAATCGCTTGCCGAAGGAGCTCGACGCCGAGCCTTTGGCATCGCCCCCATTTGGCTCGTAGCAGCTGTAGAGCTCGGGACGATTCAGCTCCTTGCGGAGGCGCTCGGTCTTCCAGCGCATGAGCACGACGGGATTCGTTTCACGGTTAAAGATCATGACCAGGGCGGAGAGCGTGCCGCCTGCAATGACCAGCACCCAGAAGACCTATGATGATGGTTAGCATGAGGAATATGCTTAGAGAACAGAAACATCACATACCCAATGCCAGCCCGCTCGCTGGGCGATGAAGCCTCCTAGCAGCGGTCCCAAGACGGGTCCGATCAGGATACCGGTGGTATAGACGGCCATTGCGATTCCGCGCTGCTCCGCTGCAAACAGATCGGCGACCACACCACCACCCGTAGTCAGGCAGGCGGATCCACCGATACCAGTGAGGAAGCGAAAGACGATCAAGGCCGAAATATTGGGAGCTAGCGCGCAGCCTACCTGGAAGGCCACGAAGAACGTGTTGGCGCCACTCAGAACGATCCGTCGGCCGAGCATCTCACTCATCGGGGAGAAGATCAAAGGACCAGTCTAGAGGCATGCAGTGAGCACAGGACACTCTGGGAGACATATTGGATGCACACGTACCACGTAACCGATCAGATAGCCAGTCACTGACAGCGTTCCAAGTATACTCGATGTGACACCGAATTCCTCCTCTGCGTACACGACACCGGGGGAAAAGACGGAGGAGGCGAACGGACTGGAAGAAGTCAGTGGCAATGGTCATTTCACAACATTGACCGCTCGGGCATACCTGATGAACGTGATGGTGCTAACCAACAGCATCAAAAACCATTTTCGGGACACAGGGTAGTTCCTGTCCAGTGTCAGATTGAGTGTCCAGAGAGCTTGCTCTTGTTGATCCTCACCTAGGGTTCGCCGGATCATCGTCCCCCTCCCATCCTACCATATCCTTCTCCAAGTCGATGACTGGGTGCACATCTGGTCTCTGGACGCTTCATGTTAGAGAAGGGCCTATGGACGGATCCTTCGACCACCTGGGAGTGCCATGCTTACCTTGCCGCCCGCCATAGTGCGGGATGACCTGCTGTCTCTGATTACCGTATGCGCGACAGACGAAGGGTTGGAGTCAACACGAAAGGATCATGGATCAAGCCCGTGGTCTCCTACTCCGTATTAGGGTCAGACGCCTGGTGGAAGGATCGATGCCTCTGAGCGCCATTATATGGGATATATAGGGAGACGCCATCCATCCTAGGGATGCTCGGGCCGCGGCGACATCAAAATCTGACAAGTTCTTCGAAAAGGAGTGCCAATGCACTAGGCGTGGATGCCCGGCACGCGATTTACCGCCACGTTGTGTCCGGCCCTCTGCAGTGTTTGCGATCAGCTCGTCGCGGCCTGGAATTCGGGCGCCGGCTCTCGGCCTGGGAATTCCGATGTTGCGGTTAGTGCGCTCGGCCGTGCCTGGCTCGGGGCAGCTGAAGAGCCACTCGGATCGCTGGTTGCAGTCTCGGATGTAAGATTAGCAGAAAGACACCGGCAAAACGCAAAGACAAGCGAGGGGGACCAAAAGAGGAGACTGGGAAAAAAAAAAAAAAAAAAAAAAAAAAAAAAA